ATTGTGACAGCTCCGAGGGGGGGGGGGGGGGGGGGGGGTGTACTCATAGTCGTGCATGCCGTAGTCGTTTGACCATTGACCTCGCATCCCTACAAAGCCGGGACGGAGCACGCTGGGTTCTCACCGGACCGGGCTCTCACATCACCAAGCGCGAAGCGCCGTGAGGTATTCAGCGAGTCGCATGAGGGGTGCGCTGCATCCTGCTGAGGGTGTTCGGCATCTTGTGCTTACTTCCTTGCTTACGGATGACAGCTGCGTATGACTTAATTTATTTTCTGGTGGTTTCACTTCCGGAGACAGTTGGAAGCGCTGTGTAACTGCCTCGAGGGTGCTTGACCAATTTAACACAACGTGCGATTATCCCATTTGCGCGGAGTGAGGCTTCTCGACCCCGCACAACATAATCTTCTCGACCACCATTCATGGTTACCGCAAAAAAAGAAAACAAAGACGAAAAAAAAAGCGGTAGCCTGGTTGCCGAGCTCACGAAGTGATCGGCTTGTTTTACAACATCGCTGCCAAGCGGCGAAAACCCAACCCCGATGGCAAACACCAGGGGGGGCGGCCTGTTTTACAACGTCGTTGCCAAGCGACGAAAACCCAACCCCGATGGCAAACATCGTTGCGCTACGGGGGGGAGGTGGGGCACGAAAATTAAAACGGTAAGAAAAATAACCCCGGTGTTTACCGTCCTGTGTGACCCTGGATGGTTGTAGTTGTACGAAAAATACACTGAAAAGTGTAGTATTCCACAACACTGAAGAGTGCAGTACACGTCCCACCACAAAAAATGGGGAGCCTGTCGCCAGAACAAGTAGGACGAAAACTTATCCACACACATTACCTTCACAAAATCACCAAAATCCACTCGGCCATCCTCGTCTGTTGCTTCCATGAAGCTGAAAAGATGGTTGGCGAAAGCGTTTCGAGGCCACTCGAAGTACTCGAAGAACGCCCCGACGCCGATTGTCCCTGCACAAGAAATGAGAGCGGTGAATCAAAACCACACGTACACAAACCAATGCAGGGAAAAGCTCATTCCAATGGAAACCAGTTGACGCGAACATAAACAACTAATTTCCCACGAACCAATCGGTCCGAAAAATGGGAAACCAGTGTAAATCGACTGGTACGTAGACACCTAGGAGCAGCCAGTAGGCGAGAAGATCAGTCATACGAACAGGTTACGGACGTGTTGGTTGGTGCGTTTGGCTCGTCGTTGCGACTACATCCAAGGCTCTCTGATCGTTATTTGTACAATGTGTGATTCCGGATTAAAATTGATATTGGTCTACTTGGACCCCTCATGGATGCGTGTCTCCTAGCATCAAAATGTTGTGTAGGTATCGCGGGTTGCTCACCTTTTCTCTCAACATCGATCGCCGCGAAGTGGGAGATGAAGACGTCGATATCCATTCCGGTGAGGGCATAGGTTTCGATCGCGCTCTTGAGGGGGTTGCTGCGGTCTTCAGCTTTTCTCTCTTCTGCCTCGCGTGCCTGCAATTCCCCAACAATGCCGGCAACGGAGTCAGAGGCGGGGGTATGGTTCCTGGTATTTCGTGTCGTTTCGGAGCTCTTTTAATGCATCGCTTGAACGACGTGAGCGGGGTCTGGATAGTCCAACGATTTGATGGTCTAGTTCGGTAGTGAGCTTCAGGCGGAATTTGTCGCAGTGGATGGCTCTCTTACGATTCTTGTGCTGACGACCAAGGGACACTGAACAGGATCCTGAGCCTGAGGCGTTGTTTGAAACTTGACGAGGTGCTCCATGAACCGAATGACAGAGGGCTGGCTTCGCAGGCACTCCATTCCAGAAATGGTTTTTTGTTATCATTGCACGTGTCAGCTCCTTTTGATAGCCGACCCCATCCCGCTGCGTTCAGCCTTCCGTAACGTTTGAGGCGAAGCTATCCAAGGTTCTTCAAAACGTGGCTGTACCGCCCAAAACAACGACAACTCTCCACGAAAGCCAATATTCCTAGAAAACCTGGGCACTGGCAACATGAATAAGATGCGTTTGTCATCTACGACAGAAGTATTCGGTGTATACGCTGCTGTGGTTTGGCGTCCACTCACCTGGGCAAGCTTGGACTCCAACTTGGACTCGACGTCCATAAGCGTGGCATCGCCTGCATTAGGCACAGACATATGAGTGTGTTTCACGAACTTGAATGTTGAAGAAATGGGCAATCTCCGAAATACGCCGAAGCGACTGCCCGTGTTCAGCTTCTCTGGCCTTAGCGCTCCAGAACCAGCCGTAGAAATACATTTATCACGGCACCCATGCCGATTCTGCGGCCAAGACCATCCGTGCTCTCGCACACGTTGGCCTGAAAATGGGCAAACGATCTCCCGCGTTCTAGGCGCTTAAAGTTATGTCGAACCATGCCAGTCGCGAAGCTACCACTTTACCGTGACCCGCAATTGTGACTCATTTCCTGGAAGCTCTCGAGCATATAAAGCAAGTTCGTACTCCGTCGCAAGCTGCGTGAAACAATGTGTACAATGGTCCATTCGAGCATGTATACATGGCAAAGCTATCGAAACGGGGCGTAAGATCGGGGACTGCGACTGAAGACTCTCAAATCGGCTGTTGTTGGGCGGCCTAACCCTCCAATCAAAGCGTACTCCTGACCTCTGGCCTCCTCACTACAAGACTCCGTCAGAACCGGCAGCACCGTATTCTTGGTATATGCAATGCTCTGCCCTTCCCCAAACAGCAAAAAAATTCCCAGTGCGAGACTTCCGCACAACGTAGCGTATCTACGCTGTTGTTTCCGAAAGCCCGGGCTTAGCCACGGTGAAGCTGTAGAGTATGCGTTTTTTCCAAGAAACCCCGGAACAAACGTAAACTGTCCCCTTGTGCCCCTTCTCGGGAACCGAAGAGAGTACTACCGGGGATTATTGCCTTGTACGAAGTAATTTTTTCCGTGTCTCCAGCGAAACGGCACGCGTGTGCCTCTCACCTGGGTTCTGCTTGCGCATGCTTCGAACCTCGCCAATCTCGTGGAGGATAACTTTGACGGTGGGGAGTGTATGGGCGCCGCGCTTGATGCTGTTGTACCAAAGTCGGACATCGGGAAGACCGCAATCTACCAATGCACCCGGCACCACCTTGAAGCCCACGTCCGCCAGTTTTTTCTGTGTGTTTGAACGCCGTTAATCACAGACAACAAAGGTGCATCCGACTCAGGTTCGGCGTCATATTTCTCGAAACGCCAGCAGATTGTTGGCGCAGTCGTTGCGGTTTTGAGCCCCTTCAAAAACAAGAGATTTTGTCTGTGACGTGCATTTGTGTCTCTACTCAAAGCAGGGCCAACCCACGTCGATACCGTGTATTGCATAAGTCAGGGCAATTAATGGGACGTTCTCATCAACAACTACGGTATCCGACCTAGAAGAAGAATGCAGACAACCAATACCCGGCACCGAACCCTTGAGTCTCGAGCTTTGCACCTCGTCTGCTTGGTTGTACGACAGGTCGATGTCCGCGATGCCATCACTGTGTGGGTCCCTTTTTCCCCACAACAAAATGCTTGGCTGCCCGCCAACCTTCGCAGCCAGCTGTGGATGACCCCAAGACGTGAACCCGAGCGGCTTCAAGTTCTTGTAGCTGGGGGAAGTGCAGAAAAGAGCGACGTCGACGCGTTCAAAGAAACTAGGAAGAAAGGCCTGTCCCAAATTGCGAAATGATCAACATGTGGCAAACGGTCGTTTACGTTGAAGACACACTTCGGTACAAGGGTGGGGAATTCATCGTTGCATCCTTTCACCAGACAGATGGGTCACAGATACCGGTTGTGTGCCGACCGATCATTCACAAGCCTTGCCCTCGTGGCATGGATCCGGGAGGATTTATCTCTCTGTTTTGGTTGTGTTCAGAGCAGACCGGCGCTGTCCTGAGGGTGAGGAAAATCATGAGTACCTCAACCGTTGTGGCTACTTCTCGCGTGTTGTCATGCCTAGCGACTAGCCTGTACTTTCGAGCCCAAGCTTTCAATTTGCACAAAGCATGCCGTTCATACCGCCAAAGAATACACCTAAGGCATTTCAAACTTAGAATCCTTGAAAAATTGGTACACACCCACCCGGCGTTTGAGGGATCCGCGTGTGTGATCTGTATCTCGGTGATGAACTCCGATGAGTCGAGCGTCTTTCTGACCCACAAAAACACGACGTCTTTACCGCCGAGCCCTTTGGACATCTTTCGATAGCTGGGTAGCCCTTGCGATTCAAGCCTCGCCTGCTCGTAAGGTGCCGCAGGTAGGAGAACGGTGCATTGGGGCGAGCTTCCATGGTGCACATGGAGGTTGTTTCCCGTACGTGCGACCCTATGTCTGCCCGGTGGTTCCTCTTCAGCACCCCATTAAGCAGATATTTTTTCACAATGCGTTCGTCGAGATTGAAAGCCACACCCTCGGTGTGCGGTTGCGATACGACGATATTAGCCTCCACTGGCGGTCGAACCGTATCGTCCAAGGATGAGAATCTCGACCACGAGGACAGCTACAGTAACAAGGTGCAAACACCAAAACAACGACGACACAATGTGTTCCAAACACCTGTTTGGAGGCCATGGCATCGGTCTCCTCCACGCCGACTGTGAAGGCGAATTCGACGACTGCTTCGACTTTGCCCAGCTTGGCCTTGTGCCTACTTTTAATGGCAGCTTCCACAGCCGCATTCTCGTTGTCGAACGCCCCTCCGTACACCGTCTGGACATTCGCAATACATCGGCGTGCTCACGTTAGGACAAGTCGCGGATTGGTAGAGTCTATGTGACATATTGAGACAAGAACAGAAATTTCCATGTACGGGAACATGGAAAGGAAGGGTAGTCGTAATATACCATCCTCATTGTAGCTCGGTGAGTGTGGCATTGTCATCGGCCACAACCAACACCAAGCTGGAAGGTGTGTAGGAATCGATCCTTGCGTGGTTGGAAGTGTTCCTGTCGCAGAGTTTCGACAAGACACAATATAACCCGAATGTTGTGATGCATGCACTCACCGACGGTATCGGATAGATCTCTGGTGCCTTAATGTATCTGAAAGTTTCGATGAATCCCACCCCTCGCATTGCATTTCTTCCCTTCAACCGAAGCCATTCCAGCCGTCATCAACCAATAGTGTACTATAGTATTGATGTGATGTAAAGTTGGATGTGCTTTGTTGACGTCATGCCTTCTTTTAATTTCATGGTGAAACGACACCCTGCACGAAGTGTGGCGCTAAACGTCCGCTCCCTGCGACCAAGAGGAGGTCTGGTTTGAACCCCTTGACCGTCACATATTCTAGAACGGTACCGTTGGTATCAGTTATCGATGCTCCCACGGGTGAAATTCAACACTTTCTTGCAGGGTGCACGTGGCTGTTTCTTCCTTGCTTGGTTTCGATTTGATATTTAAGCCCTTTACAACCCTGCGCGGGGTGAAGTGAGCTTGGCCTAGCCGATGAGATCATAGCCGGCATTGAAAGTTCCCGGCGGTAGGGGGTGCGACTAAATTCCCGGATAATCCTGAATCCTCTAGTATGTTTTGTAACCCACCTTTCGAATCATCTTGTGGAAGGCGTTTCCTGCCACATCCTGCTATTGTTTTCCTGACGTTGCTGGCCAAGTACTATACCGTTCGTCGGGGAACTTTTTCTGCTTTGTCGTATTTGACCCATTCGCGCTATGTTTCGGCTGGTCGATGTCCGATGGAAACTCGAAAAAAGGGGATAATAACGGACAAAACAAACATTCCTCCCTTGTTCAACGCAGCTGGAAGAGACGCCTCAACTAGTTACAATAACCATGTTCGGCATGAAAAACTGACGTGCCAAGGCCAGAGCTTCTGGATAACTTACAGTATATATACAAACAAGAGGAAGTTCTCATGCGAGTAGCACTCAATCGGTGGTAGGATCCGCAGGTTTCCACCCACACCCGTCCCACCAAGCCCGAAACCCAAACCCTGCACCCAAAAGGACGAAGTTCACCGTACAGAAAAAAGTGTGTCGCACCTTGGTCCCAGCGATTTTTCTCTTGATTCGGTGTGCGGCTAGCCTGATGCCATCAGCCTTACCCACGCTACCCATGCCCATCTCCTCCGCCACCCGTCTGGCTGCATCCAACTCTGCCTTTGCCTTGGCTTCTTTAGCTTTCTGTACAGCTTTCTCCTGAGCAGCAGAACCAAGGAAAAGAGCAAACGACCACACGACGACAGTAGCAGAACAAGGCAGATTCAAGACGTTGGTATCGCGTGGGCAGTGCTTTTGCGGCATCTCGTACGATTGTTCGGCTGTTTTAGCCTGAAAGGTGACATTCATACCTTCTAAGCAAGGCGTATAGTATGTTGTGCTCGGTTGTTCCCACTGTTCCCAGTGAGAACAATTTGGGTCACTGTTTTCAATGGCGGGATCCTTCCGTTTCTCTTTTTCGCACTTGCGTCCGTCCCTTGGAGCACGGCCTCGTCGCTGTCGCATGGATATGTTTGCGTGAAGGTAGCTTCAGAGACTTAGGAAGGTAAAACGGTTGATATTGAAAGTTTGTGGGCACTTCATTCACCCCGCGTGATCTCTCTCGCGCCCCACCCGATTGTCGCGGGCTGGGAAGGCAGACTCGTGTCGTAAACTGAGGCGTTTTGCAGATCCTGTGTTGATACAGGCCTTGAGATTGGTCGGCAGAGTTTGATTTCTATCGGACATGGTTGTTCACCGCGCCACCCTACCTGGAGGCTGTTCGATACAGGATGGAGAGGGGTGCGTGTGTGCAAGCCGGCGTCTTGGCAATTCCACTAGAATTGATTTTGCTTGTGCCACCTGTTCTGCCTACGGGTTGGTATGTGAGTGTAGGAGGTTGCGTTACCTGTGAACGTATGTCCAATGCATTGCTAAGGAGCGCAGTCGAAAAATATCGAGGTGCGCCCCACACTCTTGTTGATGAGTATCCACCTGCCTTTGGGTGTCGGGTGCTGCTCTAAACTGTAACGCCCTGGCGGATTTACGAGACCAGGTCGTCTCGTGTTCTTCGCGGGTAGGCAACACAAACATGCCGATGGTAAGCAATGAACGATTTCGCTAGTGATATTCTCCCTTCTTCCCCTCGCTGCCTCGGCAAGGTTTTGCTTAGGCATGACCCAAAGCGAGGGGGGGGGTCTTTCTAGCGAGCAGGGCTAGACTCACCCTCAAGGGACCGATACCTTCTTGCTACGGCGCACCCGCCGCAAGGCGTGCGTAGTGGTGGAGTTGGGTCGGCACTGGTGCGTCAGGTACAAAGGTGCAGATGCGCGGGCCTCGAGGCCGTCGGTGCAGGCAGCAATGCCCATCTCATCTTTGTGCGCGGAGGCAGACGCCATCAGAAAGGTGGACGGGCACTATGTACACGGCCCTATGCTTGCTAGAGGGAGCTGTACTGTCTCAGTAACCTGGTTTTGCCATCAAATAAGGAGGGGACAGGTGGTGACGAGCTGACTGGGCTGGTTGACCCTTCGGCGCGAGAATTTTCAGACCAAGAACCCTAAGTGCAACGAGGGAGAAAGCGAGGAACCGACTGGGAAGGACAGCAACGAGAGCGTGTACGAAGCGGAGCGGGTCGAATTTGGTCGTGCTAGGACTGGCCACAGCGACACCGGAGAAGCGGCACCGGAGCAGCGGCACCGGAGCAGCAGCGGAACCGGAGCATGCGGACGGCATCGAACCGTGTCGCACGGACAAACATCTATCTCTTGTGTTGTCAATTATTTTCCGTTTTTTTTCCTGAATATAGGTGTTAGGTGTGTGTAATGACGTCACTGGTTTTGTAGAGAGACGCGGCAGAGATGGCGCGGATAACCCGGGTGCCTTAATTGTGTACCTGCATCGTGGAAGACCCCTTCAATGTGGAACGATTCCTAGTCAGTACCGATGTTTACACTTCTGTGTCTAACACAGATGATCTGGATAGATTCGGGCGATTGTCAATTGCAATGATGGCTTTGGTTGGTTGTTCTTCTTCATTGTATGTCCACGGGACCATTCTGACAGCACTTCAGACAGCAGCTGCATGCCCCGAGCTTGTTGTGCACCATACACCATGGTGTTATTTTGTACAGACAGCACTTCAGACAGCAGTACGCTGTAGTCAACAAACATCCATTTTGGTGAAGTAAGTGCGGGACAAAGGGGGTGATGCCGCCTGCTGTAGTCGAATTGTAGTGTGTGGGCGTGTAGTTCAGTTGTGAGCACGCAAACGTGCTGCAGGGATTGTAGGTGTACCTCCTCGGGCTTGTGTACCCTTTTCTTGCTAATAGTGTGCGTGTTCTTTAGATCTTCTGATGGCTTTAACATTTTTGTGACCACGGGCCGAGTCTTTGCTAGATTTTGGGATTAGCAACTGACACGAGTTTAATGTGAAGAAAAACAAACAAACAAACAAATTCTATGGCTGAAAGCGTTTGGAATAGTCAATGCTATCAGGTGTGCTCTGACCGAGTCCCGTCTCCTGCCTCGGATTGCCACGGAATTCTTTCATGACCCTCGCGATGTCCCTAATACATCGGATCAACTACCTGCCGTTGTATGGACTTACAAGCATCCAAACGCTTGTCCTTTTCACACCAACGGTCATTGGCATCGTTCTTACTTCACCTTTTTTGTCTGTTGGCGTTCATTTTCTAGCTGTTCCTTGGCGTCCATTGCTCTCTGCTTCGCTTCTCTCACTCGTTTTTGCAGCTTCTGAGCTTCCGCTGTTGCCTCCTGGCCGCTTTCATCTCCGACAAGTGCGTCCTGCGACATGAAGACGCCCACGACGATTTTTCAAAAGGCTGCTTGGCCGGTCGCACGACTACACAGACAGTTGATTCGAAACGCTCCGGAAGTGTTGGCGTTCTCGCTGTTGCCCGCGATGGTACATCTCTTGCGGAATGTTTCGGGGTACATTGGGCCGTACACACGCGCCTTCTCGGCCCTCAACAACCCTGCTTTCGGTTAGCCTAGGTGTTCCCCAAACCATCAAAGTACCAAAACAGACAGCGAAAGACGGAAAAGTGAAAGTCCTTGCTTACCTCGGCAAGCATGAGCTGGGCGTCTGCAGACGCGTAATCCGAGGAGATGGTTTTCTTGGCCCTCTTGAGATCTTCTATTTGCCGGTTCACCAATGCGAGCTTGGCCTTCTTGGCGATAAGCTGAGTCTGTTTGGCGTAGTCCAACTCTTGTGCCTCACTGACATCGTCATCTTCCCTGACACACGATGGGTCCACATAATTGATGCAACAACGTGGGCGTTGGCATATACGCACAAGCTAAAAGGTTCGTCCCAGAAAGACGAACTATTGGAGATTAAGGACGGCACCGTGGGATGTTCCGATGCACTGCACCCACGCATTCTTAACCATTGAATACGAGAGCTGCTGCTTCGAAACTGAGAGTTTGGGAAGCAGCAGCGTGCATCCTCTCACCCGCCAGTGCCAAGAGCAAACTCCACCATTGTGCCCATGAACCCCTTTTTCTTCCCCTTCTGCTTCTCAGGTGTCTTGTCGCTGAGACCGTCCTGTAAGCAATGTACCAAACGATGCATGGCAAGGGTTACGGTACCGAACAAAACACGTATGCCGAGAGAGGCGCTCGTACTGCTCGTGCGCTTGAAAGTGAACACGTTGGGAATTTCGACTACAGAGAGGCTCGAAACCCCTCGCTCGTCCTCCCGAATGGTTTTCGGAACGAAGCCACAGAGTGGTCACTATTATTGAACTATGAAAGCAGAGAATCGTTCGAACCGGTCTCAAAGTGTCACTCCTGAGGATATCAATCAGTTCACACCTTCGCCTGTAGCAGTACCTGTATTTCCTTCAGCTTCTCTATGCGGTGCTTCATTCTCTCCACGGCGGCGTCGGCGTGGTCCTTCCCGAACTGTGCCGCCCTGTCATCTCTCTCGGCGGCCCGGAAGGCACTCATTGCTGCAGCCTGCCTGGAGTGTCTTTCCTCCTCTGCCGTGATTTCCTAGCGGTGGTGCATGAACGTCGTGATCCAAAGTGACAGCGTATTGCTGTAGACGAACTCGTAGCATGCAGTAGAATGGCTGTGCGTACAACAGGTTCTGGCGTACACGTTGGAAACGAAACCGACTACGCATCGGATTGATGGTGTACGCACAACGCGGGACGACGACTGGTTTAGCACTATAGGCGCAACCTGAACTATGTACATTTTGTTTTTGTGTCCAACATCGAACCATGTGTATCCGGTATTATTCATGTTTACCGTTGTTTCCTTTCGAATTGCGTCATGATTTATGCGGTTTCTAGGCCACGTGCTGGGGAGAGAGACACGCGGAACGGGCATCGTCTCGCCAGCCGTATGGGCAGCGATGCACGGTTTTAACTGTCACAAAAACGCCTCTCTCCCCCCACGAAATACCAGCCGAGGGACTGCTACTGCGAATACAGGGCTCCCGAAACTGACCAAGTCCTCAAATAGTACACGCCATCCACAACACCCGACAAGATACCGAATGTTCCCGAGCTCTTTCCCTCACCTTCGAAAGAAAAGGGAGGGGATTGCGAGAGTTTTGCTATTCTGTCGCCACTACGTTGGGCGGCCGCTACTGTGTTGTCGTCTCTTTCACGCGCTCTGTAGGTTCCCCTCGTTACTCAACTTGCTACAGTCGCTGTGTGCTCTTGTCCACAGAATGACAAAGAGAGGGCTATTTTTTTCACTCATGACCCCGGGTTTCCGACAACTAACGAGGCTGTAATTCGACCATTACATCAATAAACCCTAGTATATTGTATCTGCTCGACGAAGAAACATTCCCCGAAGTCACAGAGTGTTGGCCAAGTAGCAAATTCCATCAACTCAACACCCATTTTCCAATAGACCACAAGAGCTTTTGGGTGGGCCCTCCCATCTTTGCCAGGAATTCTTGGTGAGGTTCGATCACCCCAAACCTGGGTGCACTTTGAAATTCATTCAAGTCTTCAATGATCAGCCTTGAGCACAGATAAAATAGCATGAACGTTTTGGGGAAAGCGTCATTCAAACCCAATCGTGGACCTGGTCGCACACGTACCGCTTCGAGGTCCGCCTCCTTCTTTTTCAGCTCCTCGTTTTTATGAGAGTTGGCCGTCCTTCTTCTCTCAAGCCGTTCCTCTTGATCCTCCAACTTCTCCTTAGCCTTTGCCAGATCGATCTGCCAGACAAGGGTGAGGATTCGTTCGCCCCGATGGCCTGGTTGGAAACCTCGACAACCGTAGGGCGACAAACCGGGGGGGAGTCGAACTTCCGGCTGGATGTGTGCTTACCTCATTCCCGTGCCAAATACTTGAAGGCGTGTATTCATGGCTACACATATGTATGGGAAACGGCATATAGAGTTAAGATCTTCACTAAATATAATCACTTCGGGGCACACCGCATTCTGAATAGGCCTAGAGCGGACCTCGTCATTCCAAGAGACAAGGTCGTAAAACCGTATGCGGCCGACTGTCGATAGGCTCAATGACAAGGAGAAACTGCCGACCCCTTTAGGTACTGTAGTCCGTCACGCCCTAACGACAGATAACAGGTTGACGCGTCGTGTACTTCGCATACATTTCATGCTGAAAAGTAAAACCATGGCAAGCGTCCGTTTCCCTGGACACAAATAATTAGCGGCGTTCGGTGCCAACATGGTTTTCCCGTTTGTGTAGTTCCCACGTTGTTGCGTCAAGCAACCAAGGCACTCCTACCAGCATGAAAACGTACATATAGAAAAGCCATACTCAGCAGGCGAGCACAAGCATTGTCTGTCTCGCGTTGTGGTTAGTGCGCTACAGGCGTTTTTCTGACCCATCTACAAGTTTAGGGACGTACCATGGGAGTCAATGGTTATGTAGGACGATCGCCTCATCTAACCAAAACTCCAGGAGAGTAGAAGCGAGCTTGAGTAAATTGTAAATATTTCAAGCGCATGGTTCACAGTTGTTTGGTCATCCTATGATTGATACTTCACAAAGTGCGTGTATCAGGTTATCAGATGATTGGTCCAAAGTGGATACTGGTTGTGGTGATGCCAAGTGGATGAGATCACCAAAGGCACCGATGGTATTGGTCGTTAATCGGATCCAAGCATGCTCGTGTGCCCCTCCGGCTGATCGACTCTCACCTCCATGCGGATTCGCTCATCGTCCGACAGCGGCTCTTGAGCAGCACCTTCACAAAACCGAGGCAAAATACGAGATAGGCAGAGATACGGACGAAAACGAACCAGACTCTGAAAAGCCGTAATGCAGCAGAGGCTCTGTGTCTCTGCGTATTCACAATACGCGATAGAGCTATATTCATCGCCAGCATGGTTGGATTCGAGGTGCTGGTCGATACCTTCGGGGGCGCCCGAGCGTTTGAACGCCAAGCGTTTCTGAAAGGCCTCGATCTCGGCCTTGAGAGAAGCGACCTCCTTTGCGGCGAACGCCTCCTGACTCTTCGCTGCAGCAACCACCGCCCGCATTTCCTGCCGTTATTGCGGAGAGGGGAGGGGGGTTAACCAACCTATATCGTTGAGGTGATCAGACATCGCGCCACTACTCGCAACGTCAAGCACTCTCTCTGTCACATTGTAACTGGAAGGGGGCACTTACTGTCGCGCCAGGGTGATGTGAGGCCATAGAGCAGATCTTTGCACTGCATGAGAATTGGCATCAGGTCCCCCCAAGGTGCTACCGAGAAGAAGGCCTCTACGCTATGGGAGAAGCGAGTGACAGTCGCGGGGAGACACGCAGAACCTAGTTCATTGGATCAGACATATTCGCCATAATGTCAGTCCCGCACAAAAGTACTACTGAAGTAGTAGATTTTACCTCAAGACCGTCAATGGTGCTCGCTCTAGCCGCCTTTCTCTTGTTTTCTGCCTGGGTTTGCGCCGCTAGCCAAGGCTGCGCCCTGCGGGTTGCGGGTACGTTCGAAGAAGAAACAACCATTAGTTGTTGTGGTCGTTCATGTTGCCCATATTTGTATGCCACAGGTAGATATTCGTTCGCTCTGAGGGCCTCACGCTCAGTCCTTCTTCGTTCAACACTCACAGCCCTGATTCATCGGGGCAAGAGGGCCGTTGTGGCGCAGCTTGTATCCTCGAGCTTCAGTAGCTGTTCTGCGAGTAGCGCACTGGAAGCGACTCAAGTTATTCACCTGTAAACCTTCCTCCATGACTCGAAAGACATATGTGCGGGGTGACGCGGGGGCTCCACCAAGGAGGCCTTAATCTTGGCGAAATGCGCGATAGGAGCGTCAGCAACGTCTCCGGTGATCGTCACTTCCTCGGTAAGGTACCTTGAGAGTGCCGAATGAACAACAACACGACAGGGTTAAAACGATTCACAGGCCTCGCCGGCCTTCGCATCCTCGTCTAGTGTGTGTGTGTGTGTCTGCGTTCGTCCCGTCTATTCGGGCGCCGGTTTACGGTCCTTTCGGCGTATGTACCTGACATTCAGCCGGGTCACGCAAGTACCGATGACAACAGCAAGAGGGAACCCCTTGCCGATGGCACATCGAGGTAGCTGGTGCCACCACAGAATGAATCAATGTGTACAAGTCATGCCAGAAAACATGCAACGTTGGGGCATCTGGGATCGTCCGTAGCGAAGAGATAAATGACTAAATCCCAAATGCCCTTTGTGTAAAGAGGACGATGAAAAGTAATACCCCCGAGGAGTAGAAACCCGGTATTGAGCTTGAAAGTGTGTTTGTGCAACGTCGTGGTTCTCCTGATTGTGACATGTAGTGGGCATGATCATGGTGCTTTCCCTGGGGTTACTTGCGCGTCCAGGCTAGCACCTCGACGCAGCATTTGGTTGGGCCGTGGATACGCTACCGCTTCGGACCTATGTCAAAGACCTCCAAAAATCATAGGAACGCTTCATCAACTGTGTCTACTTCTTCATTACGAATGCACATTGTTCTCCCTCAAGTGTCGCGATCAAGGGTGGGATTCACGCTACTCGCTCGCCAGTCACAACTTGAGCAAGAAGTGTGTGCAATAATCATGTACACGATTCCTACTTACCTGTCTTCGGAGGCGATCTCCTCCTCCAGACCCCTCTGTAAGGACGCCTGAACCTTTCCGCGAACGCTCTGTTCCTTGTTCTGGTCAGAGGGACATAGGTGAGGTTTCCGAAGGAAGATACTAGGCATGATTTTGGGTTGATTGCGTGAGGAGAAAGTTCGACTGCCCTTCTTCTAGCGGGACGTAGCACATTTTTTCAGCAAGTGGTTTTGCTGGGAACAGTGGTCGGGCAAGCCTTCTACCTACAATATTGGTCATATACCGCAAATTGAAGAGTGCGAAGGTGCTACAAAGGTGGCCAGTACCAAAGGATAAACGGCAGTCAAAACAACATCAGAAACGCCATTCGAACAACAACGACATATACCTTGAGCCTGGTTACCCGTGTGGTCCACAAGAACCTTTCGTCTGTGCCTTCCTCCGAGGCGGTATTGGCTAGTTCCGCTCCCACCCTAGAGTAATCCGCAACGGGTTGTTGAAGGAAGAATCAACAAAGGTTTGGAGCCGACTAGTCTTCAACGCCACACAAGACACGACTTGGCTGCACCTCCATTGTGAGAAAAAAGCCCACCGACATCCCCAGCGATAAGGGTGATCAAAGTTCTCGGGTATGTGCTGATGAAAGGTGGAAGATTGATGGGTACTTCATCAGACGTAAGAAGTAGTCACAAGCCAGGTGCTATCGCCTAAAATAGTCTGATTGAGAGTCATTTGTTGAGAGTGGTGAAACCTCAAGACTCATGGCGGTTCAGAGAAATGACGTATTCACGGAATCAGCCAAAATTCCCACCAGCTTGCTGTAAGCTTGCTGGCTCAACCGCCAGGACTCACCGTTCTGCCCCGAGTTGTGCATCGATGTGGTAAGCTTTGAGAAGCTCCTGGAGGTTTTCCCGGCACTTGGAGGCGTGTTCATTTTCTTTCAAAAGACGGGCCGTTTCCGACTCCAAGAGATTTTCCTGTAGATTCAGTAGCGGACGAGATACACAAGTCCAATTTCTTTTCATACCCAACCATAGGACAACCGGGTTACGTTCTTCCGTCATTGTTTCATCTAGCCAAGAGTTGCTGTTGGGGTGGCGTCCTCGGCATTGTCAATCGTATACAATCCTCATGGGCGAATGAAGGCAATTCACAGAAGGGTGGGAATTACAGTTGGAGGTTATATTAGGGTGATACTCTGAAGGACCCAGGCTCACCTGCTCAAGATCAATCATCAACCGCTGCTTCCCCGCGCGTGATATCTGGTCCGAAAGCCAACCCCTGGGAGAACGAATGGAAGTTGGCACCAACACACGGTGATGGTGATATGCAAATTCGACGTAGTGCATGTTAAACGCCAGTTTTGACGACGTTTTTTTATCTGGCGACTTTGAGAATTGCATGCTCAAAGAGCATACATGTGTAAATCGTAATTCGTAGAAATCCGGCCCTTAGACCACAACCCTAACCTTATCGTCGGGGATACGAAAAGTACGACGCCACAGACAGGAGACCGAGACGATACTACGCCTTCTTCAGCCTGGGCGGGAATCGTCTTTGGAAACACTACACGTAGTTTTCGAAGGCAGTGGGACGGACGTCAAGAGATGGCGCGACGTCAAGAGATGGTGCTAATGAGGTAAGCACCCACGGCACTAGCAACGCCGAAACTTTCAACAACAACAGTATGAACAACACCACCTGAAAAACTCCTGTTCCAGGACTTCAGCGGCCCCGTCTAGCTTCTTAGTCGAAAAGGCCACCACTTCGTCAAGGACATACAGCTCTTCTTCCAACCACGCGAACGTGTGTCGCGAACCTCTGGTCATTGCGTCGAGAGATGCTTTTTATTAAACTCTTGGTTTCTGTTTGTTGGCACATACTGTTCTCAAACATCTTGTGAGCTGGTGGGACTCACAATGTGGTGGAACGAAGAACACATACTATCTTGAGGATTTGACCCAAAATTCCCTGAAAGACGAAAAACATGAGTCATGCCAAATTTTCATGAGGTTTTATTGTCCCAGATTGTCGTCTCCTACTGGTTTTAACCGACTCACGCTTTGCTAGCCAGGTGGGCAGCATGCCGCCGGTAGTGCTGCCTGATGAAAGCCCTGGTCCAATACAGCCCCTTCTCCACTATCTCGAACATACTCGTCTGATGCAGGATGCGGGTATCCTGTAACGACATTGGTTGAGGCTGTGGGAGTCAGACGGAAGACGAGGTCGTAAATCCTTGCGCCCATTCAGAGAGGAGGTGAATGCTCTGCCCTACCACGTTCAAGGGAGCATGACAATATGTTTCTACGTACCAGACCCCGTCATCGCATTCCCATTTGAAATCCAAAGGGGTGGTTCAGATGAACGATGCTAACATCCTGGCGGAGGAACTGGACTCATTTTTTTATACTTTTCCAAAGAACCTTCCAAGAAACGATTTTTTCGTTGGGTAGGTTGGTCACAGGGGAGGGAGGCATTGTGCATGTTTACCATAGCGACGAACGCAGGAGATCTGCAGGAGAACAGATTTCTTCGCGTGCGTCAGTCTTGGTGAGAGCTTCCATGGCAAGCCTCACGTCGAGGGACGCGGACCGTTCCGGCGTAGTACATAAATACGTGTACAAATACTGTAGGTCACAAACAATTTGCGCACCTGGAGCTCGATCTCCTTTGCGAGACGTGTCCTCTCCGGGTCATCAGGGGGCAGAGCGGGATCCAGAACGCTTTTTTCTTCCTAAAAACACATCAAAAGGGTCACGTCGAAACGGCTACAGATGGCGCCCGCACTTAAGAACCTACCTGTTAAGAACATGAGGCTCAAAAAATCCAAAACTCATGAACATGAGCGTATTTTAGTGGTCCCCGTTAAGAACCTCACACTAAAACCTATATAATGGCCATTCGCAGCCTCAACAGGCAACTAAGAACCCCAGCCTCACGCAAATTAAGATGTTCTTAAGTGCGGGCGCCATCTGTATCACGGTGAGCACATCATTGGGGTGGAGATAGAAGGGGGAGGGCGAACTGCCATAGTGACAATGGCGACTTTCCCGGTGTACCACATCACGGTTTGGGTAAGAAACAAGTCGACACCACCTAACGCTAGCGGGGGGGAGGGCGAACGGTTTCTGCCCCGACGAAGAAGATCGGGGTGGGTAGGTGAAGAAACGAGACCATGTCATTCTCTACGTTTGTAAGGCAGCAAGCGCTCGTGACCGCCATGTTTCCGCTCGGCCATTCCAAAGCGGGAACAGCAGTACCACCGGCTGACGTCGCGGAAGTAGAATACTACTGTTATCTTCTGAAGGTCATCCTGGCTCACAGGGTCGTACTTCAATGGTCTTCCATTCACTGCGGTGAAGTTCTACTAGCTTGATTCGGACCACGACTGCGTGGCAAGAGGATTTTCTTGCGTATCTGTCGTAAAGACGGCCCAAGGACATTCTATGTTACCAACGCCGAGCTCAAAACTAGACTAGCAACGATAGGGGGCTCGTGTCTTCCTGTTCTTGCCTGAAGACGGGTCCACGCTGACCTCGCGGCCCCTCGTCGGGTCTTGAGCAAGTTGCTCTTCACTCGCAGCATTGTGTGGTTCTCGACCGCCCACCGGACGTCCGACGCAAACGTCCTGTGGCCCAGCCGAAGAGAAGGCAAGCACGATCAAAACGTGTACGGGGCGGGCCTAGGAACACTTCGCGGCGGTCGAGCTTCTCAAAGTTGGAGACTACATGTAGCCCGACAGACGAAGTGATATTCTTGTACCGTACCTGGTCGACTCCTCTTCGAGGTGTATCATTTTCGATATGGCCGCTTCCCTTTCCCACCGTCGCCGGAAGGTACAGTCTCGCCTCGCCCTCGCCGCCGCCGCCGTCTTGTCTCGCGACATTCCGGGGAGAATTGGGCGTACACCCTCGGGGAGTACTGCCGCCAAGCCCGCGTTCGTCTCGCCAACACTGGCCGCCGACTCTTTCAGAAAGTGTCGGACGGAGAAGCCCCTGTACAGCGCTTGGACTCGTGTTACCGTCTCCTGCAGAGGAGTAACAACGCCAGGTGGTTGCTCGCGTTCAGTATCTACAAATACGTACATGTACAGAGCGAAACGCGAGAGTAGAACGGTTCTTCTTTCGCGACTTGAATCGAGGAAATCGGTACATGCTGGTTTTGGCAAAAGCGAGGCCCTACAGGACACCTGATAGTAAACCCAACCGGTGTTGGACGTTGGGTTGCCTGGAAATAGCATGTGATCGGTCGATGTCGGGGCTCGTTACGTTCTCTCTCTGTGTCCTCCCCCCCTCTCTCTCTAACTCCCTCCCTCCCTCCCTGCGCGTCGTGGCGAGCCACCGCTTTAGCTAATGAATCCAGCGTGCCTCACCTTGAGCTTGAGCTTGGAGTCTTCTTCTTGAGCGCGCCGGCGTATATCAGATTCCCGTTTGAGCAGAAGCTTTCTCATGAGGCCCTTGCAAGCGTTTTGGACCTGCCCGGTGGACGTTGGGTATTCCGAAAGGGTTGAAAAGATTTTCCGGAAGGGAAAGACTAGGGGTTGGTGGAAACGGGAGAGCTGCTGCTATTGGCGTGCTGTCGCTGACGTTTTCTGCGCCTTGTTCGGCACGTACCGAGGCGGCCACTATATTTCAACATTGACAACTATGATAACATGTTGGCTCACGCAACATAAACAACTACCGGCGTGCCATACCGCACTCTCCTGCATCGCTGCCCGCAGGGTATCGTCGAAATTCATCGTTGCTTGTGTATTCCCAAAAATGCTGTGTCGCTGCCCAAAGGGCAAGGTCAAAGTTCCATCGTCACTTGGGGATCGCTGCGACAAACCTCAACCGGTGCTTACAGTTGTTGCGGCGTTTTTTTCCTCGGTGGAGGCACGATTGTACTCCTCCTGTGCCCTTCTGTCTCTCTCTTGGGCCTCTTCCATCTCTTTGCGGTCTTTGGCCTTCATCTTAACCCTGTTCTCGTCAGCCCTGATCATTTCCTGGACCGCCCAAAAGGAAGCAGCGAACAAAACGTGTGTAACGCCTGGAAACGCCTCGCCGATAGCCACGGTGAATCATACCGGAAAACGAAGCTACGGAGGTGGGTGTGCACTCATAGCCGCGCATGCCGTATTCGTTCGACCATTGACCTCGCATGACTACAAAGCCGGGACGGAGCACGCCGGGATTTCACCGGACCAGGCTCTCACATCACCAAGCGCGAAGCACCGTCAGGTACTCGGCGAGTCGCGTGAAGGGTGCGCTGCATCCTGCGAAGGGTATTCAGCATCTTGTGCTTACTTCCTTGCGTACGGATGGCAGCTGCGTATGAGTTATTTTTTTTCTGGTGCTTTCACCTCCAGAGACAGTTATATGCACTGTATAACTACCTCGAAGGTGCTTGACCAATTTAGCACAACGTGGTGCGATCATCCCCTTTGCGCGGAGTGAGGGATCAATAAAGCGCGAAGCTACGGAGGCGAGGGGGGAGTTCATTCGAATTTCGTAAGAGCTTCGAGTTGCATCTGAACGATCGGTCAGCAGGCACGGGAAGGCGAATATCCACATTGTCTCGCAAATATCGACACTGAGACTTACTTTGTGCTTCAAGAGTGCCATGCTCTTGAGGCAACTCTCTGCCCGCCTGGCGCAGTCGGGCAGGCTCCTGGCTGCCCGCTTGGCCTTCTTGGCATCACCCCTTTTCCCGCCGCCGTCCAACCCTCTCTCCGAAGCGTTGGTTGTCTTCTCCGGGCGTTGGAACGGTACCAAGTCGTGGCCAAGACGGCCAGGTTGAGAGTGGACATGCGTGGAACACCTGTACGTACGTCCAAGCACGTTCGGAACAGTGTTCCTTTGGCCCACCCTCTGTATTCAAGGATAATGGAGCTTCAGAGGACGTCCAGCGGAGAGTACCACTATTGGAACCGTTCTCATTTGGTTCCCCCTCTACTTTGCGTACCTGTTGTTCAAGGATAAATTTGCTTCAGAGCACATCCTGACATACACTGCACATTGTCGTCGTGAGGCAAGAAATCGTTTCCACGATTAAAACAAGCGTAACAACAAGATGAATCCTGTAAGAAGCATAGCGCGAGATATCTTGAGTGACAACTATCGACTGACCCCTCCATCAAGCCAGTCGCCTATCCAGCCACCCACCCACGGACTAACCTGTGGCAGTAGCCACTTCGACACTCGGTGCATGACACCGAAGCGAACCGCTTCTTGCAGTGAAAGCAGAGGATTCTCTCCTTGCTACTCCCGGAACCTGCCGCCCTCATCGCCTCCGAGGCTCTGTCCGCCGCAACCTGACACAGGCACGGAAAGAGTGCCACCCATACGGTTTCCCCACAGAATGCCAACCATGAGGGAAATATAGAACTATACGAAGATGTGGCCCTAGGGTGGAAACAATAATTTGTTTTTGTTTTGTTTGGGCCTCCGATGGCAGGTTAAAATCGCTTGGGTTATTTTGGCCGGGCCTTCGCTTTTTCTTTGGTTGTCGGAATAGCGGGTGTAAGAATATCGTCGGGAAGGGGTGGGGACGGGGCTGAGGAAGAGGCAGCACAGGCGTTAAGCGTGCCTGGCTATTGGGAGCGAAATGAGTGGTGGTGCTTGCTGACCTTCGCCGCTGCGGCCCCCTCCTCGTCTTCGCCCCAGAGCTCGCCGGGCCCTTTCCGAAAAACGTCGAAGTCGGGTGGGTCCTTGACCGCTGTGTCGCCCTTGAAAGCGGTGACCCTCTCCACCTCCCGCAAGCTCGTCTTTGTCGTCGCGGATAGTGAAGGGGAGGACCCCTTTGCTTGGGCGGGGGGGGGGCGCACGAAGTCAGCTTCCCCGTCGAAAGGGACCTCGCGACCATCGCGAAGGCGTTTCGCCTTTGGGTGGATGTCGAACGGCCCTGAGAACATGGGTTCGAGATTGGGAAAAGTTCGATCTGCTTGCGGGCATTGACTAGAGGTTCAGCAAAGCAACGACAATCGGGCGCTAAAGTAGCAGCCAAGACTGGGACTACCTCAACCGGTGGGAAGCCGGCACCGTTGCTATGTTTTCCTTCTTTGGCGACCTACAAAGCCGCTCAAACGTACTCGCCGCGGCAATCCTAGCCATCCACATCCGTGTTCCTTGTACTACAAAAATTGAAGCGTGCGACATTGTGGTGGAAAAGCCAGCACATGAAACCAGTGCAATTGGCGTGAACAGTTGACACCTGGAACAATCTTGCGCGTGGGGGCCGGCGGCATAGCACCGAAGTTAACCACTTGTTCGTCTTCAAGGATCGCCTGATTTTTCAGCATCGCAACGGCACCCAGGCGTCGTCGCTCCCCCCTCACGAACGAGGCACATTGCTCGACGCCGACCCGTATCTCTTCGCGCCGCCGCTTCAGGGCGTGGCGTATTTAATAGTTGCAGGATACAGGTTTTGGTTGGGGGTCGTTGTCAGAGCCATAGTCTCGTCGACCAAACTCGGCCTGTTTGGCACTCGGTCTACGAAAATGGCTGGAGGGAGGATGTATTTTGGGATCAAGACGGGTTGGTGGATGGGTCCGTGAGGGTGTGCGCTTACACGTACCCCATGGCCTCTGCACAAGTTGTAGCGCATCCCTGTGTTTCACACAGCGTCACTTTTTCGTGGTGTGGGTCTCGGCATACGGGTGTACTTTGTGCCAGGAAGCCCGTGAACAGCTCTTCTCCGACACGTTTTCTTGCTGCACCTTCATGGACATAGTGCAGTGGGATGGGATGGCGTTCTCCGCCGGCGGCAAAACACGTCTATTGGTCGCGGCTCAACAACAAACATGTATCCCAACGGCTTGACTACTACCTTCTCGGCTGCAATCTTGTCGGGGTCTTTGTCGGCGTCCCTGGCAGCAGCAGCAGCCTTGAACCACTGCTTGCCAATCGCTCTCTTGGCCAGCTTAAGTTCCTGGATCTGACGAACCAAAAACAAAAAAGAAATCGACAACGACAACGTCAGCGGCCGAAGAAGAAGAAAACGGTGCTTACCCTAACCCTAGAATGGTCACGGAAGGAAGGTTGTGATCGACATGCTGCACGCAGAGTCAGCTTCGACCAAGTACGTGTCTTGGTGGTCGCTAGGCATTGAAGTATGACGTCATTGAAAATGTTTCTGTTTTGGCCCTGGGAGCTGGTATATAATCAAGCAGAAAAAAAAAGTGTTCGAGAGAGTATTCATTTCAAGCTCACTGGGAAACAAGCTATGGTACATGGAGCGATGACTTGAAACGAAACAAGCGTCTGTCAGCGAACCGCATTACATGGCACGTCATACTAGAAGGAAAACGTCCTTCCTGCTCCAAAGTAAAATGTGGAAGATGAACTCGTGGCAATCGAACTGGGGAGGACAAAACACAGAACTGCTTTCGGCGGGGACCCTGCGGTGTCAACGCAAGAACAACAATCCCAATACCGCTTGGGGTGTTCGCTCCCGAGGATGAAGCATCTCTAGGCAGGTCTCCGGATAAAACTTTCGCCCGAACCTTCTCTCGGACCCGATACCGCGTCCGGACGAAGTACCCTCTCCACAGCAACTGAAACCCGATAGCGGCACGCCGCAACCGCAGCTGGTGCACGAACATACACCTTTGGGAACGATCGATCAAATCGATCAAGGAAGAGTTAGGTATTGGAAAGGTTGATGGCAGACACATGTATATCAGAGCGTCTAGTTTACGGGCTTTGTAGGACGCAGGAGATTACGCTCGAGCATCCCTCAGTCAGGTTCCTGAGAAGGTTGATGGTGGACAAATTTCGTGATAGTCGAACGATCACACCACATCGCAGGCGACAATTGGCACGTTCAGTATTTCTATGTCGAGTACAAGCGTTAACACCTCGGTGACTGCTGTTAATACGAAGATACATTGATACGATGGCAGATAGAGATAGATGCAAAGGAACTCACCAGCTCATGTCGAATAAACGATCAGGTATCGGTCCCACGTTTTGCGTAGTGTAGCTGCTCGCAGAGTACATCCTAGGCTTTCAAAGTACCTCAAAATTATATCTACGTGCCGCACCGGTGGTAAATATATTTCCACCAACAGACCGACAAATTCTGATAACCTACCGTGCTGTGTACCGTCTCCACAGCGATTGAATCTTGGCGGCGTGGGCGTCTCGCTTACGCGAGTGGTGCTCTCGGACCAACCCCTGGATCGATTTCGCCGCTTTTTTCGCCAGCTCCAAGCGCATCTGGTTGACGTAGCGTTTGTTACATGGGAGTCTAACATGTCTGTACGTTATCCATGCACTGTGTCGGTGAGATGTATTGGTTCCTGTAAGTCGTTCCCTGGGTCATGCGAAGGTTACCTCCGTGACACCTCCGCGTGAGACAAGCTTCGCGGGTAGTACCCAAGCCGATCAGTATCTGGAGCGAAAACAGAGGTGTTCGGATGATGATGGCTGCTCCCGAGATGCTCTGTCGTATTAACGGAGTAACCAACTCACCTTGTCCGGCCGACCGGTGTTGCTCTTGAATCTATACGCCAGCATCCGTCGACAAATCTTCCTCGCGCTTGACATGAGCGCACGAGCCCGACGGTCTCTGAAGTGCCGGAGGGCGCGCCCGAGGGTTTCTAGTGCCCGCTGCTCTTCGTCAAACCTCGAAACCACCGCCGCCGCAGCCAGGTGCAGCTTGTGGTGCGGGGCCGGCCTTAACCCCGCAGCCAGTGCGCTTCCACCATTCTCCTGCCCCACCCTGTGCTTACTCTGGCTGCTGCTAGTGCAGCTACCCCCTGCCAGGTCGGATGCCTGTTGCATCGATGTGCTGCTTTCCATGGTTTGAAGCTGCCGGTAACCTTGCTTGGGGGGTGGCGGTGTCGGAGGAGCGGTGACAAATTGCGCCGGTGACCCGGTCGATTCCGCCGTACGTGTGCGACGGGAGGAAGTCGCCGTAAAACGAGAATCTCCGTCTGCCAACGCGGAGGAGAATGGCACAGGAGGCAACACCTCCGCGATTGATTGGCTCACCATTACCGATGATGCCGAATGCTTCACGAGGGCGTCCTGGGTGACTCCAGAGCCTATGAGGGACAGCGACCGAACACGGGGGCATGCTTTCAAGAGCGCTACCAAGCCGGTGTCGTTTACGGCCGTACAACCCACCAGTCTCAGCTCTGTTAGGCAAGGGAACGCCTCGGCAGGGGAATGCTCCGACGAGAAATTGAGCTGTTCATGGCCCTCCAGTCCGAGCGTCGTCAATCGGGGGCAGTGGCGCGACGCCGCCTCGAGCAGAACACCTCCTGTAAATGCCAGGTTGCTGCCCCGCATAGTCCTCGTACCGGCAGCCGAAGAAGAAGAAAAGACCGTAGATGAAGAAACCGAACAGTCTAGCAGGCCGCCGTAAGGAGCTCGCCTCGACGGTGCGTGCGGCGTGTTGTGCTGCCCGCTACTCCCACCACTGCGACCGCCGCCACGGGCGTGCCCGCTATTGCCAGGGTGATCAGCATCCGTCATGAATCGGCTGCGATTCCCGTCCCCCATCGCGACAGCTAGGCGTTCCAGACCCGGGAGGCGCCTGCAAGCGTCAGCTAGGGCAGGCTCGTCGGAGGCGGCGCTGCAGCGATCCAGCCCCAGCGATCGTAGCAGGGGGCAGAGGGAAGCCAAGGGCGCCAAGCATGCGCCCGTGACCATTCGGCTGTCGGACAGGAGGAGTTCCTCAAGGGAGGGACAGGCGTTCGCAAATCGTACCACGGAGGCGTTGTCGAGGCCCGGGAGTCGGAGCATACGCGCCGCCCGTAGGTGCGGCAGAGCAGGGGCCTCGCTAGTCATGGACCCCTTGCCGTTTAGTTCCCTTGCAGGGTTGATGCCCATTTCCGCGGAGCTGTTGTGCTTGGCCTGGTCTGTCCGGCCGCGAGGGTCGGCAACACTCGTGTCACCATCACCATCAACAGATTTTCCACCCCCTCCCCCCAGACCATGAAACGAGGATTCGTCCACTTTTACGAGCCCGCTGAGATCGACAAACTCTAGCTTCCCGCAGTTCCTGAGAAACTTCCCCACGACAGAAGCTGCTGTTGCTGGAATGTCGGAGATATCTAAGTGTTGGAGGTACCGACCACTTCGGTCAGCAACGAACGAAAGCGCAGTCGACCCGCCGAGTCCCACGCATCCCGCCAAGCCTAGTCGGAGCAGGTCTGGGCGACTTGCAGCCAGAAGTTCAACACCCTCTGGGTTTGTCGACATGCATCCCGAAACAACGAGAGAGCGGAGGTCCGAACATCCCGCGGCTATCCACTCCAACGCCGACGGGTGTAACTGCTGGCAATCAGGAAGCTCTAGCAGCTTGAGGCCGCGCACTGGGGCAGTTGCCACCCCGCCTGCGAACATTTCTCCAAGGAAGACCCTCCCCGTAACCTGGAACGGACGTTCGTAAACATGGTACACGGCCTGGATGTGTCACCGACATGAAAGTTATAACCGCGTAGGCTATTTTGAACAGACGTTTCTAACATCTCCGAATAGTGTATCATGTCTCAAACACGCGAAGCCTTACAGCGGAAGGAAAATTGTGTCTTCAATATCCATTTTTGTTGCTCGAAGCCATCGTTCGGCGAAGACTGCCGATTACTCGATATTTGCAGATAGGCGGTCACAAATCACCCCTCCCTCCCCTCCTCCATCCCCCGAGGATCTCAACAAATGGGCCACGACGAGCCTTCCTACTGTTGTAGCTCTATCACTTTGTCGTTGGACAGTCCGTATCCGAGCGGCAATCAAGACTAAACATGCTTAAACCCTCTTTATTCAATGGCTCCTACCACCGCCAAGATGGTGTGCCAGCGTCATGGTGATAAGCTTACAGCGGTAGCGCGTCGGGCTAAATCGCTCGCGAGAACTTACACCAGGTGCGCGCTGAAAAGCAAGACAGCCTGGTGAATGCGAGAGGTAGAACACTGCTGAATGCTGCTACACACCTCGGTGACCCTCGGAACGATGGGATACAAGATGTCGTTAATGTCGTTAATACAGGCTGACCCCCGCACCAGGTTTTGATGGTAGAAGATGAGAGTCGAAGAGAGAGAGGCTCTCAATCCCTAGAAACAGCAGAAACAACGTTTACTGTCGGGGACCCCGGATAGTCAACCGGCTACGGTGGGGTTCCCCCGAGCACTATTCCGACCGTTCGCTGACAGTCCCGTACGGGGACATTGTCACACAGAATGTGGTTTCTGCCCTGCTATAGAACTTGACTACTGTCTACACGGACATGTAAATATCCCTGACACAGTACTCGCGCGGCTTCGTTTTGCATTGATCGTACCCGGTCGCAGCCACCCGCTGAGAGTTCTTGGAGAGCGGCACACCCATCCAGGACTGCTCGAAGACCAAGGTCCCCAACACCCGGACAATCTGAGACAAGCAGCCGTTTCAGGCACGAGAGTCCGTCCTTGGACGTGGCCGCAGACAGACCTGCATCGAGCAAAATCAGGGGGGTGTTGGAGGTGGCCGCTCACTCATTTGCGGCCTGCCTTCGGATGAAACAGGCGTACGCATGTATCCGCAAAGACAGAGAAAGTCCCCCCACAATTGGTTTGTGTTTCGGTGCACGAACACGTGCGAAACGTCTGCTACATACCCGTCAGAAACAACGAAAGCACAGTAGTATGCTAAGTTCCCCGGGGAATTTGTCGACGAACGGTTCTCTACAATTCCCGTCCTCGTTAAGCTGTCCAGCCCGACTCCGTGACAGATTGCGCATCGCGGAAGAACAATGTGTGTTTCGGGGGCAAGCTTAGATAAAGTGAACCAGGACGGGCTCTCCATTTCGAGGAAGGTAACTACGTGGTCGGCGGCTGAGACATCACCACAACACCCGTCTCCACCCCGGTTCAACAAAAGGTTGTGGTCAGTCGCTTGCGGGAAAGGCGATTGTCGGCATGTACCTCCACCGCCCCCAGGAGTTTTTTCCAGGGACAAGCTCTGTGATGTACCAACCTGTCTTTTTTCAGAAAACAACCTAGAACAGAGGTAGAGACGAAACCCTTCCCAGAGTACCCCCTCTCCCACCTCAGAACCCAGCCCCCATGCCCCCCTTTTATCATATATTGACTTGCCTTGGTCTGTGAGTCCCATGCATGAAGACAGGTCAAGGCTCAACAAAGCCGGGCAACCGCGGGTCACTTCGGCAACGTGACTACGAGGGGCACGAGTAGAGGAACGAAGAGAGGGTGCATGTCGGCGAGGGAATTTCTACTGAGCTTCATGGCGCGGAAACGGTAAAAATGCGCGCTTGGTGCTTCACAGCACATGACAACTTCATAGAACTTGTGAATTCGTCGCGTGCACCGACGTCATGGGTTTGCATCTGCCCACAAGGCCCGAGGCTTCAATTACGCGAATTCCAATCAGTCGCATGAATGTGTTCTTGGACTGTTTCAGCTCTTGCTCTCGCCAGTCCAGATGGCAGTACCCACGATAAATAGTGAGCTGATCAACCTACCTAAGTCACGTTTCAGGTTGTACATGTGTACTGTACAGCATATAAACACCAATAACACCAATCGCGATGAGTTCTTTATCTCGGTAACATCACTCGCGTGTGGCGGTTTCGAGAATACAATAGCTTACTCGTCCCCCATGTCCAGACACCCAGAGAGGTCCAGAGTGACAAGCTGCCGGCCGACTCCGTGTAGAAGGATCCCCAGCGCGCCCGGTGTCACGCCAGAGCAGTTGGTGATCTCGAGGCTTGTAAGCTGCTCACCCACCCGGGACAGGGCCTGCAGAACCTCCTCTTGGTTAGGCCCCAAATTCCTCCCGGATAGCTTTAGCGTCCGAAGGCACCTGATTGCTCATGGGTATTTTAGGTGCCCCCGTGCAAGAACATACCCGTCAGGTGCGGTGAAAAATTCGAAGTACTGATTTGTTTGATGCATCACTGAAGCTTAACCAATTCTTCTAACTGGGAGGTCGTGGGCGCGAATTCGTTAGGTTGGTCGACCTCGCAGCTTGTACGTCCCGCACTTCATGTGAAAAGCTTTTTACCCACCCGATGCTGTAAGTAATATACTGTAGTACTCAGCCAAAAGACAAATCAGATATGTCAATCGCATTCCATTCAATCGCACGCATCAATAATTGTTATAACCTCAATGCTTCCCGCCCAAACGAGAGAGGTTTGGTGTGACTGGTGCACACATGAGAAGAGAGAACAATCCGCCGTTTGTGAAGATATGCCGCCAGTGTCTTGCCGCAAGACTCTGAGTACCATGCATGTAAATTAAGTAGACTGCAAGCAGTTCGAAGGTTGAGTAACTGCTGTTGTGAAGAAAGCAAAAAGAATATCCTTCGTATCACACACTTGCACACACGAGAAGAAAATACCGGGGACACAACTCGAGCTGTACTGCAGGTTCCGAACGAAGCCGATACTGCAAGCACGTTGTACGATACATACAGTAGTACTGTAGTGACTCCAAACATTCGCGCAACTACTGTCTATCTGTAGCGGATACGGACCGAATTCGAGTGTCCAGACGAGCATGCACACATAGAAACATGTGTTCCGGTCCCGATATTTTTTTAACAAGACACCAAAGACATGATCGAGAAGTCGGGATGCGGTCCTGCACAGTGCTTCAGACGGTCGCATGGAGGTCCATCAGTGCCCGTGAAATGTTTTGTCCTTCCAACAACCTCAGCGCAAACAAGACCAGAGTTCAGACACACGGCCTTACACAACCGAGTTGTGTGCTGCCAGGGCTTCGTATGCTCATACATCACCAATGTTCATGCCATACAAGCTCGCCTGTTTGCCCTCCATAAGGCGTCTATTTGCCCTGCGAATGATATATCCCACGGGCTCAAATCGAGCGCTTCGACGGGGCTGCCCATGAAGTGGCCCGGGGAAGGACCGAGGCGCCCGTCCGACCAGGGCACGTAGGCCATCGTCAGCAGCTGAAAAGGGGCGCAAGCCTCTGGTTCGTAGGGCAGCATTCCCTCCTCCCCCTTTTCTTTTCGGTGGAGCGCGTTTGCCCATATTACAGTGCGCGCCGCGGCGGGGAATCGAACCTTGGAGGAGGTAGCCGGCATTTTTGTCGTCACACGAGAAGCCCCAGCTAGGGTTCCATCGTACAGCGCTCGCTGTCGGCGTCTGCGCTCAGCCTTGATTGCATCCAGCTCTCTTTGCACATCTTCCAAGCTGGTGACATCGGGATCGGCTATTGACATGGACGTCATGGCGGCAGGGGTTTGGTTGCTGGCTCTCGCCAGCATCATCCCGTGTGGATCATGTCTTCTTCTCTGGTGAGGGTTGTCTGCTCTGTGAGGGAAACTTCGCAGGATAATCGTGTGGTTGGGGATAACAGTAGTTTCTCCAAACAGGTCTGGGTGTATGCCATACGCAGCAGCAGAGTAGCAGCGGGACCACTACCAATCATTTGATTTAGAGTCGCGGTCTAGCGGAGGCGCGGTGCCCAACCCTCATCTTTCATGTGATGACGTTTCAAAACCTCAACCGGCACCAAACCTCGCGCGTGCGAGTACGTACTCAGGCAGCGGGGTACGTACGTACGCTGTACGTTGCAACGCCTCATTCTGCGGAGCCCCTCGTGCGGAATGTTGACAACCAACCCAACCACAGCTCCTTCCCCAAGACCACAAACAAGACGAGGAAGCGGCTTTCGGGAGGATCCTCGACGCGGCGGCGGCAGCGGTAGGTCCGATCGATGTAGATCGATGCGTCGAGAGAGCCTCCAATGTGCATTGCTGCTGCTGTATCGCCAACTCCAAGTTGAACATGACCTCACCTCACCGTGAGGTGCACAGGTTGTGCGCTGTATGCGTGTAAGAAGACATGTCGAAGGTAAGCGTGGCAGTAGTATGGCACCACCAGTTCCTTGCTTTTCAGTCTAGAGTTCTGCTAGGTAGTGGTTCTCCGGTTGCTTTCGGTTGCAGTCGTGGAACATTACTTTCTGCTCGCCCAATGACTGTGTGCCAACCACTTGGAAGGCCGAATGGCTTGATTCCTCCGCATCTCGCTGCGCATGAACACACACATCAGCCATGTGCGCGCCCTCTCTCGCGCGCGCTCTCGGTCTTTCATGGATAGCTTAGCAGACACTAAACCCGGAAGACTCGAGCGCGTGTAGGTCTGTGTTCGATCAGCTGCTGGGGATTCGCTTGGGTACTGCTATTATTGCTGTGCGGAGCTGCCAGCTAAATATCCGTTGTGCCGGCTTTGCAAGGGTCACTGATTGTGTGTGTGTGCATACAAATAACAGAAAAAACTCCGGTATATCCGGTATTCATCCTCAACAGCCACCGCTGTAAAGACGTCGACACGTGCACTTCGATGCGGGCAATATACCGAACGGGTAGTCTCTCTGTCATTGTGAGCGTAAAAACCCTGGTGTACACATACCATCGACCCGAAAAGTCACACACTGCACACTGCACACTGCACATTTTGCACCCTGCCATCTCTCTCCACGTGTCATGAAACGATTGGGTACAGCTGGCTCTATCAAAATCTCGAATCTTTCAAAATCACGCCCATCCCTTTTAATTAATTTCTTCCGCTTTCCTTCCCTTCCCGTCCCTGTCCAGGTCGGCCAGCGGGCGCGGTCGAACCCATCCGTCCATCATCGGTTGTGGTGGTGTGCTGGACACGACGCCGTCATCTTGTCTTGAGAGATAGCCTCGCTGCGGTTACAAGGCCTTTGCGTTTTCAAAGCACGATCGATCGGGACCTCAGCGTGCACAGAACCTGGCTCCAATCCCCGAGAGTGTTCTCTTGCCGCAAGCAGCAGGAATATCCTCGAATAACCAGCAGAAAGCAGCAACCCCGAGAAGGGTGAGAATACACACTCGAGATAGAGCGAGATGTCCATCAGTGGGGATTCGTGGCACAAGGTGTCCTCCGAAACTCCAGAAGACAACACCAACAAGAGTGACCCTGCGCCACCCCAGCAGCAGCAGCAGCGGCAGCAGGAGCAGCAGCACCAGCAGCCGCGGCAGCCGCGGCTTATAATTTCGGACTCGAACGTGGAGGAAGGTAGCGCGGGAGCTTTGCTGCGGCTCCGCGGTGGTCTGACCCTCCTGTTCGTGGTGGTTGTGTGGGTCATCGGGGTGAGTGAACGGCGTGTTGATAACGAAGCACCGTGTTGGTCCACAGGAGGGGAAAAGGTCGCCTTACACCGCATCGGTTGTTCCGTTTGGGTCAGGTCTTCTTCGTAGTGATGCATGTTCATGTTGACTACCAAGTTGCCTCGTTGTGGATTGAATACTACTCACGACATTGTTTGTCGCGTCCCTCTCTCCAACGAGCACAGGGATTTCGTTGCCCCCACAGCTGTCTCGGCACTTTTCCGGTGCGTCGCTTTCGTGGTTGCACTCGAATTTATATTGGCAATACCGTTTTAGATAATTCAACAACAACCAAAACTATTTCCCCCCACGAAACGAAAGCAACTTGCGCGGTTTTGTCCCGTACATTTGTCCGCTTCAATCTTTGAGCTTGTGATGTGAATAAACCCCCGAGGTACTGTAACGCTCGTTCAATGCCCTCCCGGGAATTCACGTGTCCAAATCCTGGCGCATGATCGTTATCGTTTGGGCAGGCACTTGCGCCCCTGGTTGCATGCGCCTTGATCTGGGTCGGCAGCCGCACGGCGTACACTGTGCTGGCTGGTCTGGTCGCAGCCGGTGTCTTCCCCTACGTGGCCAAGGGTAGCGGCAGCAAAGAGAACGGCGACGTCGGCTGGACGGAGTTCCGGCACGCGATCCCCCGGTGGTCGCAGTACTGGCACAAGTCGTGCGGCCGCGTGTACGAGAAGGAGGGGCCTGAATCGTGGGTGAGAAGCATAGAAACGTCCGACCCTAAACATCGTGTACTGCAGCCGTGGATCCGTTGTATGAGGGTGCCTAATAAGAGGGGGCTCCGAAAGAAAGAGGGCCGAAATCGGCTGTCACGGACTCAACCCGCTACACTACAGTATGCTTGGGGTACCCGACTATTCCGGTAGAGGGGATTCCAATATAAGAGGATCGAGGGCCTTTGTCACACCACTATCGGAGCCACGACTTACAGTGAGAGGTGTGAGGCTGGCCAGTGCGGGAAGATATCTGGGGGGGGCGGGGGGGGGGGCGGTGAGTGGAATCGAGTTGTGCTTGATTTGGGCTCTGCCCCTTGACCGTAGCCGTGACCGTACCCCCTGCAGGACAACATGCCCCCGACGGTATTCTGCTACCACCCTCACGGAGTCTTCACACAGGGATACATCATCAACGGGAGCATGAACCAGGAGCTGCCTAAGATCCTCGGTCTTCTCGCCAGTGAGTTGGTTTAGATGCGGTAGATGGCGATGTTGATATGTTGGCCGTGAGAGTTTTCGTCCCTTAATGACGTGCCGTGGCCTCTTTTTTCCCTGCGCGGGCCTCTCTTCGAGCATGGGTTGGAGATGGTGGCTGTGGAAGGCGTTGGCAGGCGAATCGAAAACCTTGCTCTTGTTCTGGTTGGATGCGTGTGGCAGATAGATACCTGTCTACGGATTGCATTTTTTTCTATGTGTTGTGTGTATGGATGTCTTCGTTTGGCGGGAGGAGTGGGCAGGGCGTGCAGGGAAGCGACGTGAATGGCTGCTTGCCTACATATATTGTAGGCCGTGATTGAGGGACGGAGGGAAAATATGTCGTGGATTACTGCTTCAACTTCCTTCATCGATTGTCACCGGATGTACGCGGCGCCAGAGAAAGTCAGCATGCATGGCGAATGGATTTTTCTTTACTTTTGGCCAGTTCAAGTCTATCACCCCCGCCCCCGCCCTTTCCATTGCCGCGCTAGTAGCCTATGTCCGGCGTACCTCCCATTTTGCGGTGTCTCTACCCCCTGTCACCCCCCTTGCTTGTCGGCGTTCACGTCGACCCCTCACGAACGAACGTGTTTTTCGTGCCGCTCTCGGATGTACCGCAGCCGCCCTGTACCATGCCCCGCTCTTTCGGCTGGTGTTTGGGAGGTGGGCGGGGTCTTGTGCACCGTCATCCAAGGAGGTTTTCCTGGACCAGATGAAGAAGGTGCTCCTATTTTCTTTTTGAAAAGTGTCACCACACCCTTGCAATATATCACTCCGATGGAACAAGACTGAGAAAAATGCCTAATGTGTCAAACGATTCACACACGTTTTGATCGTGTTGAGCGCCTCCGCTGTCAACTTGGAATGTTTATAATGGCTGCAAGAGACAAAAGCTATACTTTTCGCGTTGGCGGGCGGCGGTCATCCAGACCACAGTTTCTTTGCGGCCGTTGTGTCTCAGCTTCTCTTTCATGGATATTGATGTGTGTGTACGGTTTTCCAGGGTCTCTCGTTCGGCATCATCCCAGGGGGATTCCAGGAGGCCACGCTGTCTAAGCTAGGAGAGGACCGCGTGTGGATGAAGAATCGCAAGGGATTGGTTAAGGTACGTGACGGCCGCGTTGCGTTTGGGCTGATTGCTGGAATTTGCTAGCGTCGGACATTTAGTTATGTTGTTCTGATACAGTGCGCATCTTGATCAAGAGGATTCAAGGTGTCTGGTCCCGTCTTCGCTCACGAATTCCACCACTCGTGGAGCCGACGGAAGTTGCTTGCCAGGTGGTCTCCTTATAGCGACAACGCCGAACAATGTTGTGTCGGTTACCTCCGGCGGTGCTCGAAGCAAGGCATATGCCACGCTTTTACGGCAGTCGTTTCCTTTGACCATGGCTAAGCTCATGTCCGCACGAGCTTAGAGCTGGCCTTTAAGTCCAAGTCGCGATGACGTCATCATGTGTGGTACAAGATCCTCCCCAATGTCGCCACTCGGGTAGACCTTTATCTCTGAAATTAGTGCTTCAGGCCCGGGTGCAATCCTGACGGAAGTGCGGGCGATATGGCGGTGAAAGAAAAGTTTCTTGGCCAGGAAAGACCTGGGAGGTTCAGTTGAAAACGAGAGGGAAATGGGATCATACCTCACGAATGCGATCACACCTCTGAAGCGCGTTTTTTAGTCGATCTCCGGTAGCAGTGCTACATTACCCACATCATTTGTGTGTTTTGGCTGATCCGTGGTATATACATTGCGCATGTTGTGTGCACGTACTCGGGCGTTGCATCGGTGTTGACCCTCCTTTCCTTGGGGAAACAACCAACAGTACGCGCTCCAGTCTGGTTACCGGCTTCGACCTTGCTTCACGTTTGGAGAGTCTGACACCTATTGGAACGCCCAGGTTTGGACATGATGCCGTATTCACGCGTTCACACCTGTTATTTACCCTAAAGAAGTTATGAACGAGGGCCGTCGTCTGGCAGTAACTTGTCGTGTCCATTCTCCATTGTTTTGGCGGTGGCAACTGTTTGATGTCTTTGTCGCGCATGTTTGCGTCGTTGGGATGGAGATAAGACCGGTATGACGGCTGTTGACCGCCACAGCGACGCTCGGCTTTGGTTGTAGAGTGTGGTCGGTGTCGTAGAGCTTCGGACGGTGTAACCCAGCGTCGAAACACGCATAGACAATGCGGCAGGGTAGTTGCAGCGAGTTTTTCGAGTACGTCAACATGTTGGCTAAAGCATGCAATCGGGGAAGTTGGGATAGGGTTAGGGATACGGTCCGCGTACCCCCCAGTTCAATTTTTCATTCGCTTAATTTCTCGCCAAGGCGGTCCGCTCGTTGCGACGGAAAGGGGGTACCATGTGAGGTTGGCGTTTCCAGAGGGGGGCTCTTCCCTTCTCGTCTCATCTCATGGCCCGAAGATGTCATGTTCATGCGGTGCAGTAACGGCCATCAAAGCTGAACGAGGGTGATTTAGGGTCACGTGGTTGCTTTGCCCATTGGATCAACCGCTACCCTAGGTGCATAGTCATTTGTTAGATCGCAGCCAGGAGGCGACATCTTTTGCAATGGACTGAATTGATCGAACATTGGGGGGTAAATATACGCTCGTTGTCACCACGCAGGGCATGTGGAAACTGCGACTATGGATGGCAGCCAAGAACCTTCCCGGCGTGTGCCCATGGGGGACGTGGTGAGAGAGGGGAAGGGTCCGTGGCGCGTTGTTTCGCTATGATTTGTGTTCATCGATAGGATTGGTATTGTGCCGTCGCTGCTGTTCCTGTTGTGTGGTGCTCTGTCGTTATTTTTTTTCATTCCGTCTATGTTCAAACGAGTCATTTTCAGGTCGTTGCCTTTGTCTTGAGATGGTCGAACTGACGCTTGTTCCTTCACAGGAATAGACAGATACTTTAATGACGTTACGAGAGGATATGTTCCCGACGGCTACCCATCGATTATTCCATCGACGTTACCTCAACGACGATGCGATTGATTGCCGTGACCGCGACTTCGACAGGTGGTGCCCCCTATTGCCCCGGCGAGTGAAGTTGATGACGGTGTTCGGCGAGCCTCTCGCCTTGCCTAAGATCGAACAACCATCGCCTGAAGACGTGGACAAATGGCACGCTGCCTACGTCGAGGTTAGTAGCCTGTGCATTATACATGAATGTAGTCACCGCTTCCCGTACCCGACACCACCGCAAACAAGGTGGGATAAGTCGGACTTTGCGAACGGCAGGCGAGGGCAAGAACATGAGGACTCTACTCTAGCGGCTTCCGAGTGAAGACACAGGATATACACCAACTCGTTGGAGGGGATCCTCCGCACGAGACTGTCAAGTTTTGCCCAGAACCCTCCCTTGCAGTCGGCGGTTGAGACCTCGGTTGGGGCGTACACCGCAACGAAGTTGACCGCTCAGCGGTGACCTGCCATCTCAAACCTGATAGTCATTGGGGATTCATTGGTGTAGTCCGTAGTAAATAAACGTGGGGGTCTTACACGCTGTCCGTACACAGTAGGCGGAGCTCAAATATTCGACGTAGCATCTTTGCAACACAGGCCTTTTTGCGGACGTCACAGACACAGACGCGTACAGTACCTCCGCCGAGACACGGTTTTCTTCTTTCGGACACCCATGACATGGTTTCTCTGCATACGACTCCGTCAGTCGTCTGTTTCTTGCCGCCGAGGAGGGCCCCCGCGATACTTGCTTGCTAAACTAGGCCCTCCCGCTAACATGATGTGTCCCGTCCTCCCATCCCTCTACTTCTCTTACCCGGTCGGGATTTGGCTGGTCGTCCTTGACGCAGGAGTTGAAAGCGCTGCACGGCCGCCACAAGGCGAAGTATGCCTCCAACCCACAACTGGAGTTGAAGGTGTTGTAGGGTTATTGTTCGGCGATCGAAGGGGGTGATGATGTGTGCCCTCCCCTTTTTTCCCGTTTCCTTTGGTTTGCTTTGTATGTCGTTGTTTGTGACAATGTTTGCGGTAGTTAGCTAACGTTAGTGTGAAAAGGGGTATTAGATGTTGCTGTTCGAGTTGAGTAGTCAACTATGGACGTCGCCCAGTACCGGTAGTTTCTTCTAATGTCGATACGTGGTGTCTTGTCTTATTCGTCTCGGTGTTTCGCTATTGTACTAGAGACGATTCACGGACGATAGGAAATTAAGACTTGTGATTGTGACTGTGACACACGGGGAGCACGACACTATACTTTTTCACTCCCTTGCACGTGCCATTCACGGCACCTTACGTGTTTGCGTACCACGATTCATTCTTCTTGTTGCACCTGTCATTGTGAGGTTTAGGTTTCGGAAGGGGGTACTGCTGTTGTTGATGTTCCACACTGAGCATTCCAGCACACCGCGCGTTCGTTTGCGTTTTCTCTTTCAATCGCGTGCGGAAGTGCCCGGGGTTCGAGTCGTAAGACGCGCCGGCATTGCTGGTAATTGACGCGTGAAAATCGGCTAGTGCTTGCAGGAACAGCGAGCGCGCTCACGCTGTGGGCTGAAGAGCAACGGCGGAGGATGCAACGAGGCACGCAATCGACACCGTAGAGTGGTTGTAATTTTTTTTTTTTTTGATAGAAACAGAAGGTCTAGTGTATTTGGTAGACCAGCCTAAGGTGTTTGTTTTCTTTCTGCGAGCGGACAGCTGCCTCATTACCAAGACCACCCGCAGGAGTGACTCTGTAGGGGACTATTTTGTCGGTCAACAGTTTACAAAGGGAAAATGAAGGGACGCCTCTTCTTTCCGGAGAGTTATCCCATCGGACCATATCCGCGCCTCTACACGCGAACGACGAGTGTTCGATTGGCTTCCTCGCGACGATTTCCCTACAACACACATACAAGCATGTCACGGAGGTGAAACACACCAAAACGGCCATGTCAAACAGATACGCGCCCTTTTTATAGTGAGTAGGGTTGACAGTCTACAGTAGTCCAACCCCACAAGCAGGAAACCACGGACACGCTGAATTCTCGTATTCGGTGCTTTCCGGCTTCCCCTCTCACTGTTCTCGTCATGAGTGCCGCGAAGAACATTGCACCAACGAGGAGGTATGGGTATCGTTTTTTGAACCCTGCGTGCAACTCTCGAAGACTCCACATCGATTTCTTGCGTGATTCCGCATGTGTTTGTTGGCGATAGAACCGAACGAAAGTCCACGCAGTCGGGTAGATGACGCGGCCCGAAGCACGTACGTTCGAAGAAAATCAAAAGAACCACTTACAGTTCACGTCCTAAAAACCGTTCATGGCGATCAAAGCCGTGGTGTGATGTGGCTCAATGCTGTTCGGCACCGTTCGACATCGACAAAAATCCCAAGCATGTCACGACGGTGTCAACATAGTCTACACGTCTCGTATCCTTGTTCCATCCGAAGAAATCAATTTCAGCTTTGGAAGAGTGAAATGAATGCTTGCTGTTGCAGGTGCTTCAGGGTCGTGGCTTCCTAGCATGCCGGAGCTTCTCCGCTCTTGTTCTTCTATTGGAGTGAAATATTGATGCATTTCTCTCCCCGACCCCTCCTCCTACCGCTCCCTCCCCCCCACGTCCGCATTCTTCTCATCCTCTCCCTGGTTGGCTTGTAGGCACGAATTCCGTGAAATATTGTTGCTGTTGCTGTTAGTCTCGACGCATGCCAAACCATAACCTTCATCCGCGCTTCACCCATTCGAAGTGGTTGCACGACTGGGTTCGCGGCCTAGGACAGGCGTAGAACGGACGACCTTTGTTCGCGCCCTGCTTTGCATTCACCCGAAAAGAGAGCGGTGGGGGGTCGGGGTACTTGAGCATACGTATCGCCTGAAACAAGTCCGTAGTCAAGCGGCTGCACATCCGAGCAGAGGCGTATCCCGCACAGCTCTTATATCAAGGCCTACAAGGCGATGGAGAATCATGAGTGACTGCCACATTTTGCATCGCGACGAATTTGGTCATCTTCGATTTTTCCTCTACTTTGGGGGATGGATGTGAAGTGCATTGCCATTCATTCGAATCAACCAATGAGCACACCCCCATTTCACTTTAACTAGACTGTACTATATAACACTCACAGATGAACTTTTGCAACGCTTCTCCCTAGGAGAAATCCAGCGGTAGAAACCACTGGTATGATGATCCCAGCGCCATTCCCGTAGACGGTTTGCACAACCGTACGTGTTCGCGTTGATGTCCTAAATTCTGGCCATCACGGCACTTATGCAGTATCCCCTCTTCTGCGTCTTTTTTTCCATCAGAGAGAGCTTTCTCTGCGATCATTTAGTTGATGATACCATGATATCTACAGTGGGAGGCCAGTGATATTCACTGCATTGTTCTCGCAAGAGAAAATACGCGCATTTTGGTAGCACGGCATCGAAGGCAAAAACTATAGAGGCAAGTGTTGACCGCTAGCGAAGCGGAGCTCGTTTCCCCGACGAGCAACCTGCGTCATTAATACTAACCATAAAATAGCCTCAGCAGTCAGCAGACTCCTACCATGCCGGCAAGCGTGTATCGCCTGGTCGTTCCGCGGACCAACCCCCCTCCAAGTCTTGGCCGTGTGAATCAGGGTGCGGTAGATAATTTAGGCTTGACAAAGCTTTCCAAGTACACAAACGCGAGGTGGATAGCTTCGTCCCCTGCCCAACTCCGGTAAATCGTGGATCCCGGTGTCGTTTCTCCACCCAACCATGTCGTCTATGCCACCCCCGAAGGAGCGGCGTTTTCGGTCGGTCAGGCAGCGAGGACAGCCTCTGTAGGTTGAATACTTACCTGAGACGATATGAACCAAATTCATTCGCTAGAGCAACGGATCAGGTGAACCAACCTCATGCATGGGTAACCCAAAGGGGGAGGGTAGATCAAAGCCGAAAACGCGAAAACGGGCCTTTGCAGTGAGTGCTACTTTCTCCCACCTTTCTCTTCTGTGTGGAAGCACAGGGATATCAGGGATAATATATGAACCACGTTCATCAGTTCACTGCTTGCCCAAAATTTATCTCTTCGCATTTTGCACCCTGGTGTGTATACATGCATACACGACCACCAAACACCCCGAATAATTCGAACTAAGCAACATGTTCCAAGAAAACCACCTCATCCCCCGCACCTCTTTCTTGGTGACTTGCAGCTTGCAGGGCTCCTGGTGCCCCTTACACAGCGGCTTGCTTTCACCGCCGCCGCCTTCTTTCCCTCCCCCCATGAGCACTGGCGCTGCTGCACTGCCACCAACTCCTCCCCTTCCCCGTTCCCCACCCCAGGTAGACGCCGCGACGGGCTTCTTGTCGGCCCAAGTGAACGATGAGCACCGCTGGTTGCCCGGCCTAGCGCAGTTATAGAAGTGACGCCCTTTGTTGGGGCCCTGGGAGTTAATGAGGGACACAAGCGTCGTGTCAGACGGGCACCGAGGAAGCGGGGTAGCTGCGCAAGTTGTTTTGGTGCTTCAACAACGATCTTGGTTTGGCGAGGAATAGAACAGCTCTTAGTGTAGGTTGAGCGCAGTTGATCGCGCGGAGAAAAACGCCACTTGGTTGGTCCCCACTGCCCGGGAATGGTCGAAATGTTTCCACCTTTATTCACCCGATGCAAGACAGAAAGAAGTACTTCTATCTGCGTTATCCAGGAAATCGAAATCTTTGCCTCTTTGGGATGCTGATACTTCGGTTTCACACGGTGCCTCAAAATAAAAAAATAGCTGAACCGCGGTATGGGGGAGAAAATAGAGTGCGCATGCCCACCCTCACGTTCTCATCGTGTTTTTGGCGTACAATGAGGGGAAAACAGGGAAGGGATACGCCGAACCCCTTCCACCGGAACATGCTGAAGACAACAACAACAACCAAAATCATGGGGGGGAGACATGAAAAATCGATATCCCCACGTCTACCTTCCTCCTGTGTGAACCCACCTGGTATTCGATTTTTAACCGAACGATTTCCCCTTGCCTGTCCCATAGTAGGTGGGGATTGTACGGTATGACGGAATAACGGCAAAGCACACCAAAATATGCGTACCTCCTTTTTCACTTCGAAGAAAGCGCACGGTTCCTTGTGTTTTTTACAGACCCGGCCATCTCCCCCCCGTCCCTGACTCGCCGCTCCTCCTCCGCCGGCCCTTGTGGCCTTCTCGCCACCACGATCGCATTCGTCGACCCACGTGAACATCCTACACTGCTCTTTCTTACTCGTTCGCGGGCAGCAGTAGAATTGCCGCCCCAGGTTCGGCCCCTGCATTGTCGGATATGTTGAATCGGTGGTTAGCTGCGTGCCGGCAGGAGAATGGAGACTTTCATGTCCCGGCCCTTCTGTGAGGGTAGCGAGCGTTGGGGCGGGAGGGAGCTACGAATCCCCCCACTGATAACACGTGTCTCCACATTTAGATTTGCCGGGGGTGGATGAGAGTGAAGGTTGCGAACGGAAAGACATAATTAATTGTTGTAGCTTCAGCAATACTCAGTCTAGCCTGCATGTCTACAATAGCGGTGGTGTTGTTATTATTGAATGCTACAGACAGGCGCGCTATCTTCTTCGTGCCACGTGGTGATATCACCAAGCACAGGCATATCAGATTATCACGCCCAGAAGGACTAGGCCACCCGTTCTTCCTCCAACGGCACTCGCCAACCTTCCGATGCCGCTTGGCACTTTTTTTTTTACCACATCCCCAACCCGTGAAATCTCACATAACTTGCCGCGAAGAATAGAAGAAAAACAAAAACAGCGAAGTTCCGCCGTATGCATAGACTATTTATGGACCGCCCAATCATTGCGCTTACTTCTTTCTTTGTCGTGCGCAGTGCACACTCCTCTCCGTGTCCGGAGCAGAGCAAAGGCCTCCCTCCCGCGCCATCAGGCGGAGGGGAGTACCCCTGCTGATCCGCCGCTACTGCCGCTTCCGCCTCGTAGAGCTTGGAAAGGTTGTCTTTGATGATATCATCAACCGCTCGGCCCTGGCTGGTGTTGCAGAGCTCTTTGCGGATCGCGTCGCGCACAGCCTGCTCGAGCATCTCTGCGTCTATGCCGGATGGGCTGGCGGTGGCTTCGCTCTCCCTCTCGTTGATGCACTGAACAGCTCTTCGGATATCCGTCAACATCGGAATTTGGAGATCCGCCGCCGCGCGGTCCAGGTCGCGTTCCACTCGCACCAACCCCGCTTTCAGAGAGTTCGCTCCCATAAGAGCGCCGATTTTCGCGCCGACACCTCTCGCCTTCTGGCAGCGGGAGACGAGATCGCGCGCCTCCTCCAGCACCCTCTTGAGCTCCCTCAGGCTTGCTTCGAACTCCATTCTGCAGGAGAACTCATTCGAGGCTTTCTGGAGGGCACCCAACACGCGGGCGGTGCGGACTGCGATGCGACCGGACTCGGTATGGCACTGCTTCACCAGCTCGCACCGCTCAAGAAGGGAGGAGCCAACCTCAAAGGTGTAGGCCACAAGCGTGATTGCATCCATCGCGCAGCTTTTGGTCAAGGTACTCGAGCGCAACACCAAGGTGTGAGAACACAACGGTTGTGCGTTTTGTGCGTGCAAAGGCGCATGTTACCCTGACAGTCCCGCCGCGGCCCGTCAATTTCCTCTCAACTCTCAACTCCTCCCAAGAATAGTTCCGAAAAATACCCGATGCATGCATAATGCGTGAAATATCTCACAGCAGTGAAATATCTCACAGCTGATCTCTCACATGCATAGATGACCACGGAATGCGCCCTAGTCTGTTGGACCAGTACGGGCATTAGATGGTAGTGATTAGTGAGTGAAAGACAACCAAGACAGACATGAAGAAGTAGGTCATTTGCCTAAAGACGATCTCTGGCGCCTAGAGTCAAAGCTCCTACATAGCCCAGCTGCTACACTTCTATATACGACATCGGACCGCGACAAAGATGCGCTGGAATTTTCAGGCATGTCCTTCCAGCCGAGCCCCACAGCAGTGTAGGTACTGCGACTTGAAGATGGAGACTCGATTTCTCGCCTGCTTCTTTGTTTTTTACTACTTGGAAGAACATACACACGCGATACTCCACTCTTGAATCTCAATAGAAACTGCAGTCAACGATGCTTTCACACGACGGACAAGACGCCATGGGCTGTCAGGCCGTACATACACTAATATACCGAACTTGCGCAACAAAGGATCAACATTTTGCTGTTCAATATGCTGCATGCAGCGCTGCAAGTGCTTCAACATGCAAGAATTGCTCGCTTTCCGTCTGAACGCCAGAAGTATCCCACAGTTAGTTGCATGAAACAGTCATGTAGGGGCATACCCGCCCGGCATCGCAAAGGTCCAACCTCAAGCAGAGACGCAGCCATACAAATACACATGCATACGTAGTCCCCACATACGGTTCCGACAACATCGCTCGCCCCTACACACTCTAAAAAAAAAGAAGCGATAGGCCCTGTTCAACGTGTAGCTTTCGCCGTTTCATTGACCCCCCCCCCACGACCCAAACACCAAGACGTTCTCGACAACTCGTCCTCAGTATCGCACAAAGTCAGCCAGAGACAGCGTGAGACGACAAGGGTACCACGAGCCCATGCATACGACCGTTGGCACACTCGGTGACCTCTCTCTCGGACCTGCGTGCCCTCACCAAAGCCAGCCCTTGATGGCCGATACCGCCCAAGAGACCTACCGGTACACGCCAAGTCAACGCTACCAGCTTCACGTTACCGACGGACATGTACAGTTCAGTACAGTATACTATAGCATAGTGTAGTTGTACTTGCAGCACTTTAGTAAGTGTACTTTGTACGCAGCACAGCGGACCCTACCGAGCCGCTAGCGGAGTGAGGGTGCATACTTGGTGACTTCGACCTGGCCACTGGCCGTGAACGAAGTTCCCCCGTTCACGAGGGGGATGAGATCTTTCGTCTTGAACTTTTCTCCTGCAGCAGCAGCAACAACAGGCGACAAAACACGACGTTGTGGGTGAAATCGGTTCATCCAACAGTCATGCTATTCTCCAAGGCAGCCTTCGCGTATCAGTTCACGCAGTGCACCAGAACGACCACCGCCGGCAAGACTACTGTCTTCTTCGAGCCTACACAGAAGACACGCATTCAACAAGTTAAATATAACGTCCCTCCTCCTCCTTACCTGTGACCGGGCAGGTCATCGTCGGCAAGGCGAACTGTTTGGCAGCATCCTCCAGCATCACGTGTCCCGTCCTACAGTAACATACAAAGCATTCAACGTACATATCATACGCATACAAACAGATGTAAACCTCAAACCTTGTCAATATCAACGTGAAGGTGTGCATAGTACGAGGGAACCAACAGACGAATCTGACGGACCCTTACCCCCCCACACACACGTGATGGACTTTTAGGGTCAGGTAATGGACGATGAACCGCTCGTGTCGAAGAAAAGTGGCATGAAGTCCAAGTTGCATCAACTTCGACGTGACCCACGACAACAAACTGCCTAAGGTCGTACAATGGAACGCGGTTCAATGGAGCCTTTGGACACCAAACGCGCCAAGTATCCGTGCAAACAGGTGCTCGGACTGGTGGGAAACCGACCTCGATCAACTCCCTATATGAAAAGGCATCCTGTTAATCGGATAATTCTCTTCGAAACATCGCTGAGAACCGTCTCTTTGAACCATGCCATATTCCGCAATGAACAGTAAACCTCACAGGAGTATGGATAGATAATAGACAGGGTGAGTCACAAAACAAACGCAGTCAATACACTACATGACCGGAATGCTCTTATGAATACTCTAGCAACACACCTCTTGATGAGCACCGCTTTCTGAGAAATGATGCCCTTCCGCGTGACAGGGCAGATGATGCTGCCTCGGTTACCGTCCCCTCCAGAGATATGCGCCGTCTGCCGCGGCGAAGACAAAAAAAAAGGTGACAGTAACGGTGACGCAGCCCTGTGAAGCAGGGAACGCTCATATGAAGTCTTGATTGTGCATGTGCCATCTACACCCTGCGCCGCCGAAGCTACCATGTTCTGATTGTCAACATTCGCTAGAAGACGCAACAACTAGGTGAAGTTAATACACATACTAGCTCGTTGTCATACACAATGTGCGGTATAAAATATCGTACCTTCTCACATCGCCAATTTTCTGGCCATGTGTAGGACAAGCCTGCTGACAACGGCCGCTACAGCTTGTTTCCAAGACACGCATGCAACCTGCACCTCTACGACCTTGCAGCCGCTCCTACATGACAACGGGCAAAACGGAATATCCCCATCAGTAACATACTTAAACCCAAACCTTATCCTGATTGGCCTTTGCTGTACAGGCACATACCTTTTTCTTCTCGCTGTCTAAGGTGAATATCACCGGGATCAAGTCCTTGGGCCGGAGGGGCTCCCCAGACATTGGGCTTCCCGGGCGCTTGGGAGGCTGCGGAAACAGCAAACAGCAAACGAACAGCCCAAGCCCCAGCGTTGTAGGTATATTTGCGACGATCTTTGTGAAATATTGTTCCAACACCAGACATCAGGCGCCAGCAGCCCACATGATAATGGGTATGTAGCCAAGGGTGCAACGACATGACCACGAAACGCTAGTGGTGGTATGTACATGGCGAGCAGCAAGCGTAGCCATCACACACCATCTGGGGTAAGGTAATAAAAGGCACCAAGGCATCCAACATGGGGCGGTAGGAGCAACACACCGCATACACCATGCACGCAGCACTGCACAGCAGCATGTGCTGCACCACAACAAAATGAGAAAGCTGCTCCAGCAACCCATTGAACACCTCTGCTGCAGATGCGGTTCATTCGATAACTTGAACTACTGTAGGTTGACGGCCCCGTGGACCTGCCCTGCCGTTATTGCACTACGAAGAAACAGAAACTTACGGTTTGTATGGTCATGGAATGGCATGTACGGTTATGGAACATCTATCCCGATGCTAGGGCTACATCCATCAAAAGAAAGAGTAAACATTCGTACCGACACATGGACGACCTGACAAGGTGAGAATAATCGATGAACAAGGTACCAAGTGGCAACCCATCTCGTGAAACGCAAGAAGCTGTGCAGGCATGCCACCCCCACCTGCACGATAGCTTCCTTGACACCCTCCGGCTGAAACTGCGGCAGCCACCAGCTGGTCATTCTGAGCTGGTCCTGCCGCTCCTTCTTGCTCTTGAGAACCGCAATCTGACTCAGTTCCTGGTACAGGCAACGACCATTCAATCATCGAACGTCGTACGTCAAGGGTTGGGGAGCTGTTTTAGAACAGAAACAGGTTTGCAGAACAAGAGCACGCAGACGTCACTGCAAAACCTGCAGGTAATTTCAGCCCCATGGCTCGTGCAGAAACTCCCGCGCCCCGTGATCAACCCTCTCGCCAACTACAAGCAATGCCGCAAACGTACTCAGCGCCTATCCCTGCAACAACGACCGTGTGTCGACCAGTACCCCTGCTTGCTGACCATCTGGTGCACCAACCTTCTCCACGACATGGTCCCTTTTCCCCTCTTTCCCTGATGGTGCTGATGCATCCGCCCCCACCCCGGTCTGCTCCTCCCTACCGCGCTTCTTGCCTTTGCCCTGCAGAGCGCACCATTGTTAAGGGGTTGTGAAGCGTTGGGTTGGGGCTCTTGTTAGACTTCAGATATCACCTTGGGTTGGCGTTATTGATACACTGTACTGTACTGTACTGTACTGTGCCACGTCATATTGGTTGGTAGGTACAAGTAAGCATCAACACAAAAATGCATACACCATCGCACACGCATGTGCATGCGAACCGCACTACCGAATCCTCAATGACCCTACCACAACATAATATGCATACGAATCGCACGGCTTAATCCCAAACGACACGCGGTTCGGAGACTCCAGCTCGTGCACCGTGACCTGCCATACGGGATTAACACGAAACGTGCAACTTACTCGGCACGCGTTCGTCACGTGCAGCACACCAGCAGTGCTTGGACCGTTTGGCAAAGAAATACCTATCGTGTGTGGGGCGGGGGCTTGCCGTAGCTCACCGCAGTTTACCGATCGGTGGAGGCGATTCGTGTGCCGCTTGGGCACGGGATTTATCAACAACATTGCTGGACATCTGCTTGTAGTTTGGTAAAGAAGCCGTGTGGGCAGCGATTTCGAATTCTCGGCAGGTACATACACGTCAAAAATAGCCAACGCGCGACACGTACCTCAGACTTTCCAGAGTCCGACGGTTTTGTGGCTTGAGGCTTGGTGACGACGAGCTGCTGCTGGTTCGACACGAAGTCATTCGTGGCCTCCACTCTTCGACTCGCGTCCGCCGACACCTCGTCCGTAGCTGATGCCGTCATGACGTCATCACAGGTGACGTCATGACAGGTTGTGTGACGACAGGTGGTGTGACGCCAGGGGGTGTCATATCAAGTGGCGTGATGACAGGCGGTATCACGTCAGGGGATGTGATGTCAGGCGGCGTGATGTCAGGAGGTCAGAGGTAAAAACAAGCGGCGAACGGGCGACAGAGAGGGAAACTCGCTGAGGAATGGCGGCATCGTTGCCTTCGTGAGAAGCGCGGAGTGGTGGGGGTCATGCACGCAACAGAAACATAGCACCAGGCAGCATGGGCGACGATTGTTCAGGCTTTAAAACGGGAAAACACACACAAGGTAGCTACCAATGGAGCAAACGATACGCGCGACAACAATAGACCCCAAGGTGAACGGACAGCACGCGGGCACATCGGGTTGTTGTATAGTATTGTTAGTTTTTTGACCGGGCCATGAGTGAACTACCACCGCCGACGTCTAACTCTCACATGATGTTAGCGTGAAAACCCAACTTCCCAAAAACCACAGCTAGCCATCAGCCCGACAAAAAAGGGGGGGGGACTCAGAACAGCAAAACAACCATGACTACGACGACAGCAACAAAGGGCCAGGGGGGGAGGCAGACAACGAAATATTGTAACAAGCACAAACGTGCAAAGGATGCCCACCAGTGCGACCACGCGCCGAGTGGGTAGAGCATCATGTCTTGAGCACATCCGCAGCACCTTTTACGGATAACATGTACCGTAGGTTACACAAGGTACCGTACTGTATGAGCCCTCGATCCGCCCCTACGCGTCGAAGGTCTGGCTCGCGGTGCGTTGTCGAAACTCCACAATACCCTATCTCAACCTCTGTAAGCCCTTGATGTAAGCATCAAACTACACGGCCCGCAGGCATACCCTGAACTCGACCTTATTATCTGTCTAGTCGACCCAAATCCACATTTGCGTTCACATTTCACACCTTGGTCTTTCTGTTGCGCTTCGAACGCCTCCCTCTGCCGCTTTAACTCCTGCGTCTTGGTCAGCAGGAACTCGACGATACACTCCTTGCAATACACGTGACCAGACGGTGTGGCCATGGGCTCCACAGCCGGGTGGATGCACAGAGAGCAGTGTCCAAACGTCTGCTGGGAGTCTCCGCCTAGTCTCACCTGGAGTTGAGTTGAATTGTCAAAAGGGGGACGTGACAACACTTGCGTTACATGTGGCACGGTGCACACCGCGCACACACATCGTGACAAACAGCTCACGCGTCCGTGAATCTGATCTGCATATCACGCGGAGGCTAAATCCTCCCCAACGCAGTAGAAACCACATGCATCATCCCTCCCGATGTATCGGTAGCACATCAAGTAGAGGCCGGTGGTGACGGCATTCATGGCGGTATGTACCCAACGAGGTAGACTAACGCGAGAGACAGCACCTACATGCGGGCAAACTGGGTGGTATAAAGTACAATCTGCGGGTCCCCTCCCGGACAGCACTTCTTGACCTACAGAGGGAACGAGCAACCCCCGTTGTCTGCAGGAGAGATACCTCATGGGCAGCATTGTTAATATCACGCAAGTCTTGCTCCACTGGCCTCTGCCTGTACCACGACACCGACACCGACGATCCCACCAGCCCGGACCCACCCCCCTGACGAAACGACCTTTTCTTTCCGCTCGAGACTACAGCAGACAGCAGCATACCTTCCTCGTCCCGTAATGGCCATCGGAGGCTGCCTCATTTCTCTCCCAGTGGTTGAAGCACTTGGAGGCGCAATTGTTCTTCGCGTGCTTCTGGGGCATGGTTCTCCAGCGTAGCCTCCGTCCTTCCTTCCCTCCTCGTTGAAATGTGTCCAAGGGCCCCCCTCGGCTTGGGGGCACACAGATGGCAGAATACCCACCTACCTTGTCTATCGTGCCCCTATGTCTCGCCAACACCGAGCATGCATCGTGCATCCCAAGCCGCATCCCAAGCCAACAAAGCTCCCCACCAACTCGCCATGAAGATGAAGAGCAGGACAAGCCTTGTTCTTGGGTCATGTGCTGCCATCGCAGGTGTGTGTGTGTGTGTGGACGCGTCCATTGTCTCGTCGTGGATCAGACAGATGGCCAACTCCTGTTGTACGTACATGCGGCTGACCTGGTTGAACATGTGTCTTGCTCCTTGAGAGAAGGGAAGAGAGAGGAGGAGGGAGACTGCTTCCGGGCTAGGCTCTCTCTCTCTCTCTCTCTCTCTCTCTCTCTCTCTCTCTCTCTCTCTCTCTCTCTCTCTCTCTCTCTCTCTCTCTTCTGAGCAAGGCATGTGAATAGCCTGTGCGGGCTCTTTGTTCCCCGAGTGTCGCCCTCTAAGCTTCGTAGAGGATGTTCATTCCTGGAAACACTGCCTCGGCAAACACTGCAATACTGTTGCACCAAAATACAACTATACCAGTACAAGGCGACTACTGTACTGTACATATGCATACTGCTGTAGCATATGCATATGATGAGAGTCGGTATACGGCGGTCCAATACAGTAGTATCGGTCTTCCCATACATATGCATAGCACGCGAAACCACCAAGAGCAAGCAAGCAAGGAGTTGGTTCCTTCCATCCCTGACCCGATCCGCTGTATATCTGCTGTCCGCCTTCACACAATAGCTCTTCGCGGGGCTGACGCCTTTGTGCCACCGACCGGAGGCTTTGCGACGGCGCGCTCGTCCGCCGTGCATGTATCCAGCACCAGCAGCCGGCGAGGTTGTTCGGGAGTTGAGAGGAGCGCACGGCCGAGAAGGACAGGGCGACAGCAGGAAGGGCAAGGGGATGCACTGATGGCTCAGATGACGGATGAGGAGATGGCCCTCGATCAGGTGAAGGTTCAAGGGTCAATGGTCAAGTGAGGCACAGCGGGGCAGTGTGCACTGCAAGCAGTAGAAGAGCCAGCTTGTCGACTGGATTGCACGAAGGCAGAGATCGGGATGCAACACCACGCGCAAGATTCTGAAGAGCATTATGAATCACACGTTGCAAGTTCTGACAAGTAGCTTGCCTTACCAATTCGAGAAGCTCTCCGCAGCCAGCACTACGCTAGTCTCAGGGAGACCGAGCTGGCTTGACGGCTGAGGCTGATTGGTGCAAGACGACTCGACCGCAGCCATCACGCTTTTACGGTACATACTGGAGAAAGCGTGGTTTCGCATATCTGGAAGCACAACCCACCCTGCTCTCCGCAGCAACGCGAGCAGGAGGGAAAGAACGGAGCAACAGATGGCCGAAAAACGAAAACGAGGTGCATAGCCGTGTACGGTGTCTTCCGGCCTCTTGGCGGTACAGCACCTTGAAATATCCGTACCGGACCGACTGACGCGGAACGCCTTCTGCGGTCAAAGACGAACCACCCAAAAGACGGGTACACAGTAGTTCTATAATACCAGTCGAAGAAGGGAGATTAAGAACTGGACCCTGAAAATCCTCAAACGAGATGACAGACAAACAATAATCTAACCGGGAGCTGAACGACCCCTGGAAATCCACAAGCGTGGATAATGCCACGATGGTGAATGTCTATGATGATTTACATGATGATTCACATGGCGTGGCAATGGTGTACCTGGTGTATGTACCTCGCATGTCCCGCGGTGATCAGGCGTTGATACAACGAGTGACGCAGGAGGTGGAGGCAGAGTCCGGGGTGGAACTGGACCAGCTCATCAATCCCGCCAAGGTGAAAACAAAATCAGAATCAGAACAATGACACCTTGCGGTGAGGGAGCGATGGATTCACTGCATGTCCGAATAACGACACCAATGTACAGTAGCCGTTGACAACGCCCAGCGCCCAGTTGGACAATCGTCCAAGGAACGGTGGGTTTGACAGTACTTTTTATTAATACCAGTAGTAGTTTTCATGATAGGGATAGGGTAGGCATCTGCACTTCACGCGGTGTAAGATGTAGAGAATGGGTGGCGAGGCTGCCAGGAACCTCGAATGCCAACCCCGACCCTTGCCTCAACAGCAATGTCAAACGTGTGGCTAACCCTAGCGTCCTATTAACGTCCTCCCGTACTCCCCAGGTGATCAATCTAGAGCGGGATCTTGTCAAGCTTCGTGCTGCATTGGAAGACGAACCTGGAACCGACCGAGAAGCGATCGAGGAGGTATGTAAAGCAGCACAAGGTATTGTACCTGGTAGGTTACATCGATGTTGATTTACGATCCTTTGTTTCTCTGCGGCGGTGCATCCAACCAAATGTGTGAACTGTAAACTGTCGGCATCACTAGGAGATTACAAGAGAAAGCGGATGCCTCCGAGGGGCGGTGGTTGCAGTGTTCTGCCCGTTGGGGATGCGAACTGAACAAACTGTCTTGTGACGTGCAGGAGATCGCGAAGAAGGAGTCCACATTGGTGAAGGAAAAGCGCATGTACATGCAGGGCTGGCTCAAGAAGGTGTTCGTTGGGCAAGCCGTGATCACGACCATCTTGGGAGGCCTGATGGTGAGCATTCGCGTTTGCTTGGAGTTTAACAGCGCGGGCGTGTCTTGTTGTGGATGTGTCCAATCCTAGTGCGATCTCATCTTCGTCTCCTCCAAGCTGATGGGGATTGTCCGCATCGCTCTCCCCCCGTTGTTCTCATCTATGAGAAACCTATGTAGCACCTGGCGCACAACAAGCGCCCCCTCGTGCTAGGCGACCCGCTATTTTCCCGGAAGCAGTACTCATTTTTCGCGCACGGGGGAAAATGCACACGAATGCAGACCGAAGTTTGATTGATAATCCTAGCCAATACTATATCATCAACGTCATCATCAACCTTACCGCCCTCATCAACCTTGCTAATCTTGCCATCCTCGTGAACCTCGTCTCCTCTTGCCCACGATAAGAACATGCTGGCTAAACATTACTCGCACCTCGGTTTTTGGTCAACAAAGTTTTGCGCTGCTGCGCTCAGCCGTTGTCAACAAGCTTTAGTCCGAACGCCTGTTCCACGGTTGCTCTCGCGAGGCATATGCCGTCCGCAATCCTTCTATTGGGCGTGTTGCCAGCTTCGAAAAAGAAGGCTTGTACTTGAGTTCTATTTTTGGGCGTGTTTTTGAACAGGCTAGCGACCAGGTGCCGTTCTTCCCTCACGTGGACATCTCCATCCAAGTGCTGGGGTTCTGGTTTGTCTGGCTCTTCACGGTACCGTCGCTGAGAGCGAGAAAGCCAGGGGCGTCGGAGAAGGTGGCCTTGGACATTGCCTTCCTCGCCACGCCGGTCGTGAGCTTCGCCATGCCCTTCATCACCAAGGTCAGGGCCGTGCGAGATAGAAACCGCACCCTCTGGTCAACCAGGAACCCGCTAAGCAGGCAGGAACTATTCCCCACACTTGCTCATTGTGCCATCTCAAGCCAGTCAGCCTATCCCAAACAGCTCTTGCTGAACGGTCGCCTTCCTCATGGCAGTACAGCACCGGCACATTCGCGTTGCAGTACCGTGGTATGCTACAGCAGCGCTACACCGGTACATCTCGTCGGCACCTAGTTCGAAACGCCTATTTTAGCCTTGGTTTCTCTAGCCTTTGGTGCTCAGTTTCCTATGTTGGCGGTTTTCCCGTGAAAGCCTTGGGTGGATGCTCTGACGGTCCTTTTCCACAACTTTCTGCGGGTTGCGATGCTTGGGCGTTCAGGAGCCGGTGCCAATCTATTGGGCGAACATCGCTACGTTGGTGGCATGCTACGGGTACGGGTTCACGGTAGGGAAGCCGGATGACGGAGAAGGAGGAGCTAGCAAGAGCCAACCCAAGTGGCTCAAGTTTATCTTCAAGGTGGGTCTCACAGGGGCGACACGAAGAAGCGCTTCTGTGATGCACATATGTATTAACACTAGCACCAGAGACAACGAGGGTGTGAAGAAGCACTGCTTGGAATTGGGGATGCACCGAAGTCGGTTTTGTCATGGTGGCAAAGACGGTAAATAGGAACCAGGGCAAAACCCCGAGTATCTCGAGAGGGTTTGGTTGAGGTGGGCAGGAGTACTTGTAGCTGTTGTCGAAATCGTTGGCATTGTGAAAGGGGGGAGCCGGAGAAGTGCTTCGGCCATGCGGCCTATCAGCCCTCACTCGAAAAACAGCCGCTGAACGCGGCTATCGTTGTGGAGTTGTCTCATTAAACGTCCTCTCCTCTCTGTGTGCGCGGCTTGCTGTGGAGTTGTCCCGTGCTTCTCTACATGCACTCATGCCACGGAATCTTTCTCTCTGAGGTTTCGGTCTTTGCCCTACCGCACGTTCCTGCAACACCCCTCGTTCTGCTTTTTTTATCTCAACCTATTCGCCCCACCCCTCTGCTCCTCACGGGCAGGTGACACAAACAGGAGTATTGTTTTCACCAATTGAGAGGTCTTTTTTTGCGTCGTCTCCCTCCCTTTGCCACTAAACTCTCGTACCTTTGAGTCGCTCCTCGCCAGACTGACAATCATCCAAATCGAGTTGCGTAGCGCTTGCTGTTCGTTGGTCTGAAGCAAAGGGTCGGGTGATAACACGCCCAATTCGCGCCTCGCCTTACCCTTCCACTCTTGCGTGTGCCTTGGGCAGTCCCTCGACTTTGGTTCTGGGCAAGAGAGAGGCGTGAGAGGGGCTGCGCGAGACCGACTGAACGAAAAGAAGCAAGAGAAACAAGAACAAGAACAAGAAGAACAGTCCCAAGACTAGCTGGAAGCAGTGCAAGCACACGAACTCGCAGACTGTTGAAAGTTCAGCATTGTGACAGCAAACTCTGCTCTTGTTGGCAGACCGTAGGTGATTGGTACTTGGCACACCGACCTTTCAGCTCGGGCCACGTCCCAAGGGCATCGATTTTCAGGACGGTGGATTTCGCCACCTCGTTGTGGCGCTGTTCCCGCCCCCAATTTGAGTCGCCTCAACGCCACCTCGCTACTGTACCTAGACTATTTTAATGGCGTCAACGTGTTGCAAGTCCCTCGAACAAATATCAGAATGGTGAACCTGTCCAGGTGTAGGGTAGTAAGTCGCAACCCCGACTGCGCCATGCATGGTTCGGATAGTTTCTTTGTGTTTGGGGACTCCAAAATCCTGTAGCTAGGCTAGGCTAGACTTTACACTGCACCGGCTCGTGGTTGCTCTTGCTTGTTTTCAGCGTTTTTCAGCGTTGGACGTGTATGCGGATAGTGCTCATGTCGTGGCGTGGCTTCGTGTCGTGTCTGCGAGTACAAGCTGGACTCCACGCGTAGTTCATGTCATGAGTTTTTGCTGGCCTGCGAACACACACGCGAGGAACCAGATTTACTTGCGTCGTAATAGCTTAGCTGTCTTTTTACGCTGCAGTCACTCAACACGACCTGAACAGCAGTGAGAAGGGGTAGATAAACGAGATGCAGCAGCAGTGCTTTCAAGACCCAATGTTTAGAGCAGGCGGTTCACTACTGTAGATAAATGTTGTTTGTAGGGCTTGGAATGACATCATGACATGAGAAATATATGACATGATGCCGACATCTCGTTGAATGCGCCAATCATGGCCGCTTTAGTCCCCAACAAAGCGCACGCGAGCACAAATCGTTGAATAGAGTAGTGTTTCTACCCGCTCTAAGAAAAAAACAGAAAAAAAAAGAGACGTCGACAATGCATCATATGCGACAGAGAGGTTCAAGTGCCAACATTTTGGCTGTTCAAGATGTGCGTTGCACCCGCCTGGTTTCCCACCGTATCTACCTCTCCCACCGTTGTATCTCACAAACATTCGACCCCAAGAAAAATCATTCCCCCACCACACGAAAGGAAAGGTAACGATAATTGGGAGCAATATTGTGCGATACTGCTGCCACAGCTCCCTCCGCTGACACCCAAGTGGCGATCAACACCCCCCCAACAAACAGAAAACACGAGACGGTTCTCTACCAATACGTGCGGTTCGAGACCTTTAACTATCGTCTCCCGGATTGCCAGTCGACGCCTTGTCCACCGGAAACATGATGGCATGGTAGGCAAGCGACCGCGACGTATTCAAAAACTCGACATAGCTCGGCATAGTTACATCCATCCTAAACAGTGCCTGGCACACCACCTCGTAACCACGCAGTATAATAGCGACTAACAACGTAAATGTAAATGGTCTAATGGGCAGAGCGGCCCATGGCTCCCTTGAACGCCTCGTCCAAGACTTCGCACAGCGTGGGGTGGGTGTGGACCTGATTCGCCACAAAAGACAGACAGACAGACAGCGGGGTAAGGTGAGGGTGTGATGTGCTCCCAAAACGGCCAGGCGCCGACAGCCTCTATTAATAGTATTCGACAGCAAAAAAATGGAAAAGAAAGGAAATACACCACATCATACAAGTATCACTTCAAAATTGTGGCGTCATCAATACACACGAAACTAGCAGGTGTGGTGGTATACAAGGGGGGGAATTTCTTGAATCCCCTGCCACACTCAAGTGTGATGGGAAGCTCTAGCCTCATTGTACACCGTTACCGTGTACTAACGGTGTTAACGAAGGTGTCAACAGAACAGTAGCGGGCCACCAGAATATGGAATATGGAATATGGAATGTAACCCCGGCACCCGACGACGGCCTGTTTCGCTGCCCTGCCCTGTCCTGACCTGACCTGACCTGTCCTGACCTGTCCTGACCTGTCCTGTCTTCTCACTCACAAGCTGTTATCTGCACTTTCGGTAGGAACGACTATTGTATTCGATTATGTAAGAGCACCGCTTATACTGATGTGGACACCCTACCCTCCAAACCTCCAAAGCCAGCAATCAATTGAAATGCACCAAGACCGACACACGCTCCGGCTCTAGACACCTGTCCGACTGTGTTGTGCCTCTCACCATCATGGACAGCTCTCGAACAGTGGTACCGGCAGCAACAGCGTTGGAGCACTCTTGGATGAGGTCTGCGGCGTGCAAGCCGATGATGTGAACACCCACGATCTCCTCGGTCTCCTTGTTGAACAGCACCTGTACAGCATACAGCAGCACAATCAGGACACAAGTAGATTGAGGGATAGAGAACACTCGTAAAACCAGACACGAAACCTTTAGACACAAACATTTGATACAGTGTAAAACGGTAGCAGGCATAGTGTCATACAGTACTGTTCATGTATATTGAGAAAGGGCGACGACGACCGTTGAACATCAGGGATGCACGTCGACGACTTGCACACTTTGAGTACACAAACGACTCGCTGCACAATCACGTGAACCTGCACATGCACTGTGGAATCTGGTGCTCGGCACAGCAGTACTGACGGAGTGGTATCACAGATTTTCCACACTCCCATCATTCGGCGACAAGGGTATGCCAGTGCTGATTGCGCCAAGTAGTCGACACCTTCCCCACAACATTGTCTACAGTCAGTAGTTTTGGAGTATATTGCAACGTGAGGTGGCACCTCCTTCCGGAGTATGCAAAACAATCGCCCCTACGACACACGTATTCTTTCAAGATAACTTGCGTGGGGTATTGAGCCAGGTCCGACAGTCCAAAATATTCTACCCTGACGATTTTCATCTGTCGTGCCCTGCCTATTCCTTTTTCTTCAGAAAGCGCTTTCTGGTTCTTCTCTTGAACTGCTCTCGGTCCCATTGGGTGGCTTTAGACCTCAACACTACAATCGACCGCTTGAAGCACCCGGAAAAAGAAGATGGCGAGGTATCGATCACATGCAGGTCAAGCCAACAGCTGCAGTGCAAACAAAAGGACAGCCCAACTTCGATTTGTAGAATACCCGAGGGCTGGGCTAGCCAAGCCTTTACCTTGGCGATTCCGTCTCCTGCTCCCTCCGCGAGGGCCTTGGAGTTGGCCTTAAAGCTGCCGCTAGCCTTACCCAGCTCGTATCCCTCCTCGGCCGCCTTAGAGAGAAACAAACAACACACCCACACACACACACATGCGTCCAACTTAGCAGCAGCCATGGTAAACACGTGCAGTCTTCCTCTGTTGTTGCTACGGTATCTGTCGTTGATCCGATGAGTAGCATAAACTCACCCATGGCGCCCCCTCACAAGGTCGAAGATCGTGGACTTTAGAAACAGTTCGTGTTTCAACCGCACTGAGACTGACGTCTCTTCAATGGTCAGCCTGTTAGCGCGGTCGGTGCTATCAAGAAACACACACACAACCAACGGACGATACACACATCGGGTCGCGACCACGGCAAGGAGCAGACGACAAACCAAACACACCTACGTCCGCGGGGGGTTAATAATTACGCTGGCCTGATGGTATATGTACCTCGTACGACTTGTTTACGGCACCTATCCTCCTCGAACGTCACGCAGAACACAGCAGCGACCACAAAACCGTTTAAAACAGCTGTCTATCTCTCGCATGTTACTGCCTGTACCTTTTCCTTGGCCTGCTCCTCCGTGAGTCCGACCATGGCGATCTCTGGGTGCGTGAAGCACGCCGCGGGGATGGCCAAGTGGTCCACTTCGTTCTCCCTTCCCATGATGTTCTCCACGGCGCTGAGATCAACAGACACCAGACGGCAGACGAGCCCATGCATACGTTTCGGGGGAGAAAAACGAGCCTTTAGTGTGGCTGTCAAAACATACAGAGCCAGCAAGAGGCAACAGGAGCCAGAATATCGCAAAGGTGGGGTCCCCCGGCAAAAACAACAACATTCCGCCAAGCTAGAGGTATAGGCTTGGGTTGGAACCGCACACCAGAGATCAAGGGCAACAGCAGTATACGCACATGCTTCGCAGGCGCAACAGTCAAAAACCTAACCTTGTACTCCCCCCCCCCCCCGAAGACAGAAGAAGACGGGCCCCACAAGACGCGTTCGTCCGTAGATCACCACTGAGGAAGCTATTAAATAGAAGTAAAACACTACTCCTCGCACCCACCCCCGCTACTAAGATGCACACGGACACACCATGCTTTGCACATTCTGTCGAAATCCGTTAAGGAAAAAAGGTTTTGGGTACGGTGTAACAATGGAAATTCCCCAAAGATTCGAACATGAACAGATAAAAGAAGATTGATTCAGTCATCTCCAGCGTTCGAGGAACTACGTTAAACGTGCGGGAAAAAGATACGAAAAAAGTGTCATATCATGGCGGTCAATGTATTCACATTGACATTGACATTGACACACCTGACGCCGTGTGCGGAGGCGGCGTGGGCGAGCATAAGCTTCCCGTTGGCATCCCCGATGCAGTAGAGGTTAGGGACTACGTCGCCCCCCTCCTTGTTGAGCACCTGCATCTTACCGTCCACCTGAGCCAGCACAACAAAACAAAACAGGGATCGAAGCGCGGTCAAAGGAACGAACGGTTGCGCTTGCATGTCCAATCTCTCCAACAAACCAGCGCCACCATCTTCGTGGTAAACGTGGCTGGAGGATCGCAGCAACTGAATGGACCCCATTGCTGCCGAGCGTACAACCAAAGCAAAGGCAGTCCAAACGCACGTTGCCGACAACGGTAACGCTACTGACACGTTTGGGTCGCCGGCTACTGTACAATACGACCGGAGTGACACACAAAGTCGAAACAATCCACAGCAAAGAGGGGGGGGGGGATTCATGATCAACTCACTTGCGGCGTCTCTCCGGCAAAATAATCCTTCACTATTTGTATGCACATGGTTTATACCAGCACGTGATTGCTTGCTTGATTGCTTTTGTTGTCGCGGCCGCAACCCAAGTTTCGAGGAAAACAACTAGGAGGGAACCCCACCGCGTTTTCGTTTTTCGTTGCTTCCCCTACCTGAACGAAGCCCCTGTTGGTCTCGATGCCCATGTTCTCGAGCCCTAGGGTCTTGGTGTTGGGCACTCTCCCTGTTGCCACCATGCAAGCGTCCACCTACAAGAAGCATGTAGGACCGTGTACATATACCGCCACAGAAACGCCCAGCAGGTTTAGGCCGGAGCGTATCACGTTTCACAGGGTCGGGAAAAATGGAGGTGCCTTTGTGAGACGCGCACACTGGAAATGTTTTTGAAACGCGAAACGTTTGAAAGGGTGATATCTTCGAGACGCATGGCTGGAATACGACAGCGCGGTTGTACTGTTGTGATGTGTCAGAAAAACCCAACAGAGAATAACAATAGCAGCAGCAGCAGCAGCAGCAGCAGCAGCAGCAGAGGCAACGGCATACCCCTCACCTCAATGGTCTCAACATGCTCCTTGGTCTCGGCGTCGATCATCTTGATGGTCACCGGCTTCTCGCCCGGCACGCCCGGGATAACTTCGGACGCAAACACCCCCAAGCGGTAGTCGATCGGCCTGCTCTTGATCAGCAGCCGCTCCGCCAATCGCGCGATTTCACGGTCGAAAGTCGGCATTAGCGTAGGCAGCGCCTGCAGCAAGCCGAAAACAAATTGGTCAGGGTTCGAGCGCTGTTGATGACTTGGGGATCGATACAGGCCAACAAAATCATGTTGGAGGCAGAAGTGGTCGGTCGTCTACCAGACGCATAGCACAGGGATGACTACGTTCGAGGCTTGATTAGGGGCAGGACGGGAGGCATTCGACATCAGCTACCTGCACGAAATCAGAGCAGAGTCAACATATTGCACAGCATACCCAAGATTGCTTGCTTCAAACGGCACTTGTTCTTCAACATCGGATTGCATGGACAGGTATTTTGCATCTTTTACATGTCATGTGTGCCGGCCAGACACGCGCCCCCCTCCTTCTCGTTGCTTGTCCCCCCCTCCCCCCCGCTGGATCTCATGACCAAGACCTCATCCATTTCTGCACCTCGATGAAGGTGACCTCTGCCCCGAGTGCCGTGTACACGTCAGAGAACTCGAGCCCGATGTATCCGGACCCCACGATGGCGGCGTACTCCGGCACGAAGGCCAGGTCCAACGCCTCATCCGATGTGAAAACCGTCTTCCCGTCCGCCTGTACCGTGGATTAATGAACGGTAAGGTACAAATCACAACGGTTGCGTGATCAGGTGCTGGGAGAAGAATTCAAGACGTGTTGCAAGAGTCGCCTCTGGATACAGCAGACAACGATTAAATTGATCACTGACGACGAGTCTTCTAGGAATCACACGAGCCGCATTCGTACGAGCCAGGACCAAGAGGTGTAAGACCACGTCACACACTGCACAACACCGTCGCCGTCGTCAAAAGCACGACACACCAGCAGCCTTCAGCCACAGCACGAACCCAGGCGGGGGTACGGAATTTCCTCTTCTATTCAGAGCAACAACCATACCTGTACCCTAAAATAATATCCACGTACTTGGTGTACATTGTACATGTACGCCCTGGCCCAAACTCTTGTTCGGAAAGGTCTTGACGTATCTTGCCGGAGGAACTAGGGCTGTACTGCATCACAGTGTACGTTAATCACGGTCCAGGCTACAGGCAAGGCAGCAGAGCGACCTCGTCTTTGCCGATGGCAGCGGTAGTATAACCTATCTCTAGCCAAACTCTAACCCGACTCTACACACAGCGCAGTGGGGCGCGCTCCTGTCCTGCCCGCAGCAGCACACGATGCATGTCTCCCGAGCAACAAGTCACGGTGCATGTTCTACAGCACATGTACAGTGGCAGCAGTGGCAGCACCATCAAAACAACGTCCGGGCTCCACACCTGTACGCCAGGCGGCACGAACGGGAGAGAGCCTGGGGCCAGGATGATGTCCTTCGCGGTGAACGTCTTGCCAGTCTCCACGGCCTTAATGGTGTTGGCTCCGGCTAGCTCTCCCGTTGCATCGATGACCTCAACACCCAGCGTCTTCAAGGAGCCCTCCAGGCCCCCCTTCACCTTGCTGGCCAGGTTCTTGGCGTGAGCGGCCACCCCGGCGCGGTCATACTCCACACCAGACACCTGCAACATACAACATACACAAGCGTTGTTGTTGTGATCTGTTGCCGCACAGATGTGTTGTTTGATCTGTTGCTCATGTAGGTAGAGTTGTGTTGTTTTGATGTGGTAGCTGTTGTTTCCGTCGTCGCTGCTGATGTAGCGTTACCGTTGTCGTTATCGTTATCGTTGTTTCTATTGTGGAGAGAACGTGTACACCATGGGTTGGTCAAAACACACTGTGAACTGTGAACTGTGAACTGCAAACCAAGCGCGGACACCGTAACAGAGTCAAATGATCACTTGGACATGAACAAACAGGTTGGTCTAAGCTGATGTTGCAGCGTCTTGCCGAAGGTGCGGTTCACCTTACGGCGGTGATGCGTCAGCTCCAAACTCCAAGTCCAACTTTTCCCGCCAAACACGAAGATAGCAAGGGGGTACAAGAGCAGGGGCACAGGGGCATGCGCGGATCGTAGTACAGAAAACTGGGAAACCTCTCGCTGTTACAATCCTACCGCAGAATGCCCCGTCGTACATGCTACTGCAGCACTCGTGACGGCCCCAAATCATCAAGTACTCGCGCTTTGACGAGCCAAACGAGTAAATCGTGAGCAGGATGCCACAACTCACATTCCTCCTGGCCTGCGTAACGAGCTCATCCTACTTTTTTCATTCTTAAGTTCTCGACTGCCGTGGCTAGGCTCTCAGCAACGGTATGATGCCATTAGACCCGTACCCGTTGACTGGTCTAACGGTTTGAAAACGGTTGCTACAAGGTCGTCAAGAAGCCATGCCCCTCAAGTGGGGGTGTGCTACAACACTGACACTTCAACACTCTGGGTATAGAATATACTGTACGTAGAATGCAGCTCGCCGTCTGACAGAAGGCAAAGTCGGTGCGCTATCAAGATACCGAATCTCCCAATATCTCCTTTATCCTCACCTTGATGCCCATTCCGTCGAGGTGGTGGTCGTCCTGCATCTCCCTAACCCGCCCCGCAGCAGCTAGCAACGCCTTAGACGGAACGCAGCCACGGTTCACGCAAGTCCCGCCAACATCTTTGCCAGAAAAGACGGCCGTCTTCAGCCCTGCATAGCGTATAGTAGAAGCGATATGAATCCAATGCGCCGTGCATGCACGGTAAAGCGTTAGCAATGTGTTTCGGGATTAGGGTTCACACACGGTATCAACAGAAAACATTAGAAAGCTGCCTGGTCATGGTAAAGCGGAGACCTACTTTGCCACCAGCAGATCCTATCATACTTGAATAATATACAGGCCCGTTGGCGTCATTTCGGCGTTGACATCGAGATCTCCGAAAAGTGCTTCAGACTCTCCGATGCAAGTCAACACGGCAGTGGCCTCTGAATCATCATTCGAAACATGCAACAGCACAAATTACACTTGCCCATTCTTTACAGAGGGCGTCACCGGTTTGTCGTCAAAAGCTAAGACCCTCACCACAGCTGCGCTGTGCTTTCTAACGACCCCACTTTCTGCACATACATACCGCAAGAGCGCGCGTGCAGAGCAGCGCCGTGCCCGCCCACCCCACAGCCCACAATGATGAGGTCGTAGTCGTAGTCATCACCCATGGACATCGCTCGCCGGGTGGCCACCCCTGCCAAGCCGTGAAAAAGGAGAAACGCGAGTCAAGTTGCGACTGCATTTTCGGCAAAACGCTTCGGGGTACAGCAGTAGCTTCAGGTCCAAGACCGGCGCCCGGCCGAAGTCGTCGCGTCGCTTCCCCGGCGTTGTTGCTGATGGAAACAAAAATGGCAGAGTACCGATCACGACCCCAAACGGACGGAGACTGCCGCAAACTCTACCACAGGCGCATCACTAACGCGATTCGCCATCGCGTTGAAGGGCGCACACGTAAGACCCATTCTCTTTCTCAGCCTACCTCTTTTCGAAATCGCTGCAGGGCTAGTCACATCGCGGCTAGTGGTAGAAAAACCGTTCCGAGCCCTGACAGCTCCGGCCCCAGCAGGGGTAGCCACGAAGGCGGTTGCCGTCGAGACCGCCAAGGCAAACAGCCCCGCAGTTGCAAGAGGTGATGACATCTGAGTCACAGTAGTAACGAAGAAACGCACGGAGATTGTAAGCATGGGCCTGTTGGCGGCTCTTATCGTTATCACGCCGTGGTCGGATGACTATTATTGTAAGCGCAGGAAGCCAAAGGCGAGGTGCTGAAATAGCGTGTGTCACCACATCCGTGGCACTGTCGAGATGAACAGCTCGAACGGTTTCGCCAATCATGCGGTAGTGCATAAGGACAAACACGAGCTAGGTAAATGTAAACAAGCGTGGGAGACACAACAGCTGCCGCGGATTTGCATTCACGGCAACCTTGAGACTACTACTGTATTACAATACAATGGTGTCGTGGGAGAGTGTAACATTTTTGGGGTGAGTTGGGAGCCTTTTTGGTCCACCCTCCAGCACCAAAAGCGGTAGACACAAGAACCAGCTATGCTGTACCGGGGACCACGCCAGCTACTGCTGTACTCGTCACTCAACTATTGCTGTACTTATGTTACACCCTCCTTGCTGTTGGTACTACGTAAGCACCACAGCACCACAAGAAACGTCCACATTGGAAGGCAAGATGACCAACTCAACAAACGAAAACACTTGCTGTCTATGAGGCTAGTCTTGTATGTGCCTCTTCCTCTGCTCTACACATGCACCAGATAGTTTTCATGCTGCCGTGCAGCAACACAAGTGCATTACGAGAAGCGCAACTCATGGAGGTCATGCAAGGCTTGAACATAAGTTAGACACCCCGACCGTATGCAACAACCGCTGCGCGAACCGGGTATTCTATCACGATACCCAAAATATCCCTCGTGCAGGATTGCGCCCTCACAACGTAAGCTTTTTTATCGTTCTGGGTAATGCTGCCCTTCCAGGTTCAAAACGCAGAGCTATAATACCCGCAACCCACTTTGCTTACAACGCTGCACCGCTGCAACATGCGTACCATGCGTACCCAGGGGCGCCGCGTTTGTACCAAACAGGAGCGCTGTACAACAGCCTGTTGCGCAGCCAGAAACGAACATGTTTCCCGTTGCAGGTTGCCAGATACTACGGCAACGTCAACAAAACAGACTGGCAACGTATATCCAAGCTGCAGCGAGCAGTAGACTCGTCTGCAACTTCTGCCTGCTCAGCCGCATCCATGGAATTGATCCATCAACCCGGTTGTGGATATGTACGTGTGCAAAATGCGCGCGATTGAATACCACCCAGGCTTCCGGAGGCATCGAAGGCTACCAAGGAAGTCGACATTTGATCTCACTGCACCTTTTGATACGAACAAGAACCAAGAGCAGCGACTCTGACCTGCCCGTGTGTCCTCCCCTGCCTTCTCTCTCCTCTTCCCTCTCTGATCTCGTGGCTGTCTGTCTGCTTGGGCGCGGGATATGGCGCGATGGCGCGAGCGCAGGAAGGCCTCGCGAACCTCCTGGAACCCCCCGTCAAAAATATATTCCGCGGGGCCGCTACTCTGCAACGGCAGCAGATTGCAGCAACAACACATCCCATTTTGATTTGCTCCAGGTCTGCCTGCCTTGGTACAGCCAGCTGGGCTCTCTCGGCGTTGGCGATGAGAAGGGTGCAGGTGGGAAGCGACGAGAGTGTGCAGGCCACAGCGAGCGATGCTGCAGCTGGGAAGCTTAGCGCGGCTTCATTAGGGTACTTCGAGGATCGCTTCTTGGAAGTCCTCGTCGGTGCAGCCGGTGCGCCCGTGCCCGGCACAGCAGAGGCAACAACGCCTCCTGTGCGACGGTTACCTCCAATCATCAACCGAGGTACATATGTATGCCGTTTCACGATGCCAATGCAATGCATGCATCGCACAAGATTTTGCGGTGTGTTTATTGGTTTGGGAGCTTTGGGAGTGGTGCTGTACCACACGCGCGCGTTGTTTGGGAGAGCACTGCTGTACCGAAGGTTGCACATGGCAAGTTGTAGTTGTTGCATGAGGTACTGTAATAACAGACACCTTCGTCGTACTCGGCAGGAAAATCAGTGACGGTGCCGAAATTGGCGGCGTTGGAACTGTCCTGTCGAGAGCTTTCCCGAAAGAGTATTTTGTGACCCCGGCATCCTCTTCCTCGTGGAGTAATCGAGCTTTTGAAAATCAGGCGGTTTCTTAAATGGCTGAGTCTATAGGCTGAGTCTTACGGCGTGATTATTTCCGGATTGGATTTGGGGGGGGGGGTCCTTTTCTGAGCCAAACAACTAATTTGGGCGTCTTACGGGTAGGAAAATGGCAAATTCCAACAGCCCAAAATCCAACAGCGCAGTTTCCAACAGCGATTCCGGCCGGCCTGTTCGAGAGTTGGCCCATTTTCCAACAGCGATCCTGTTGGAATATCGCTGTTAGAAATGGGGGGGGGTACCCCCTGGTCACACCTCGATCGTGCCAGAACGAGGAACTACACCGTCTGCTGGCCAAACAGAGGCCAGTATCATGAGGTCATGCACAACCCCTCTGCAGGTACCTAAAATTCAGGGCGTTCTGCGTCGTGTTGGCCGCACACGAGCCGAAAACGTCAACCCTGCCACATTGCTCTGCTGACGTTCTTTTGGCATTCGGCCGAAAAGAGCCGTTTTTGCGCCTGCTGCATGTGTGACCAGTTCAAAACGCATGCCAGAGAGAGGCCTAAAGCCGTCGACATCCACAAACTGCAGCCAATGGCGTGTGTTCATACTCATACCCTCTGCTCGCGTACCAGAAACAGAGCGTGTTGTCCAGTTTTGATTGCACACGGCCTGCAAACGTGAACCAAAGTGTGTTGCGGTGTTGACGTTCTGGTCTTTTTTCTTGTTCCGCCGCGTGTTTGCTCCGTGTGTCACCCGCGACCAGTCAAAAACGCATGCCAGAGAGAGGCCTTTGGCCGACGACATCCACAAACAGCAGCCAGTGGCGTGTGGTCATACACATAACCTCTGCTCGCGTCCCAGAAACAGAGCGTATTGTCCAGTTTTGATTGCACACGGCCTGCAAATGTGAATCGAGGTGTGGTTCGGTGTTGCCTTTTTCGGACGTTGCATTTCTGCCGCTTGCTCCGAGTCGAGTGTGATCAGTGTACAACGCATGCCATCAGAGAGAGGCCTTTGGCCGACGACATCCACATACTGCAGCCACTGGCGTGCGATGATACACATGCCCTCTACTGGCGACCCATAAACAGGGCGCTCGGTGTCTTGTTGGTCGCACACGAGCGAAAACCGTGTACTGAAGATTGTTGTGACCGACAAGAACATGAATCAGCCTCTTTTTTCCCTTGAGAAAAAATGTACCTCGAGGAACCGTACGACGGTCGTTTGGATATTGATAATTTTTTCCGTGCAGGCCACCCCCCCCCCGACCGAGCGAAACAAAAACTCTGAAATAATCACGCCGTAAGGCTCAGCCTAAGGTTCGGAAATCCTGTTCAAAAATGTGCAATTTCCCAGTCGGAAAAAAAGAACAAGGTGTCGGTCAAGACGCTTCTCATAGTGCAGTCGTTTTTTTTATTGCACTGCTGGTTAGGAACGCGGCCGTTTGTGTTTTTCCAATTGCTACCCCCGCACCACCTCATCATCCGGTCGGTTTGGTTTTTCGGGGATCTCTGTGCACTGAGTGACACGACACCGTAGTTAAGTCATCCGACGGTAGCTGTGCGTATGGTGCTTCATGTGGAGTGGTTGCTACAGACCGTGAGGCGCTGGGTGGTTGAGAATTGAAGTTGGCGAGAGGGGCAACTGCTGTTCGAAAAAGACCCCCCGCTCGAGCAAACAGCTTTCGACAGATTTTTGCTCCATCACAGCTTTGGTCTCGTGGCGACCCCGCTTCACTAACCGAACCAGCAGATACCACAAGGCCATCCGCCCGTAGCTGTGTGTATGGTGCTTCTTGTGATGTGGTTTTCAGAGACCATGACGCGCTGGGAGGCTGAGCAAAGAAGTTGGCGAGGATCGACTGACTGCTGTGTTGTACGAAAAATGACATCATCATCATCATGCCGCTCACTGCTGCTGTACAGGTTTCTCGCCGTGTCACCGGTGGCGCCGTAGCTATCCCTCTCCATTGACCGAACCAACAGCAATGACACAGCCCCTCCGACAGAGAGCAGTTGATGGAGCTCACATCCTCTCAAGTTTCAGCAGCAGGGGTGATCTAGCGAGCGAGAAAATGAACATATCGTCCATCGATGTGTGTGTGTGTTGGGATGATGCTGCGTCTCTTTGAGGGTCTGAGCAAGCGGTGTGTGTGTCAGCTGGCCAACATTTTGCTTTGAGCGCAACTGGCCACACGGCAACCACATATATACGGCTGGGATGGCAACACAGTGCTCCGAGGGTTGCTCGGAGCCCTTGATGAGCTCGCTGCGACCAGTACTTGCTGCGCAATCGATGGTTTTGTCCGTGTGGTGTGCATTTCCAAACGAAAAAAACAAACGCGCCATCCGATCGAAAATTGTCATCATTTCTAAACGCATGACCGGTTGGAAACGTGAAATCGAAAATGTTCAGGCGGAAAGTGTCATTTCTGATGTTATACAAACTGGTCTGACCAAGACGCAAATTTGAAGGTTGGAGCGGATTTCCCACGCGGTTTTTTCAAGTTAGAACCTGAAATTTGGACACGGCATCTGCATGAGTACTATAACACAAGGGCCACTGCGCTATTTGGATTTTTTTTTTTATGTCGTAAGTTCGGCTGATATTAGTATTCATGGGAATATTTGCCATGCCAAAAAGTCGCAGAAAAAAAGAAAAAGTCAAATGGCGCAGTGGCTTATTTGTTTGTTGTACTCATGGGGATGCCGTGTCGAAATTTCAGCTTCTAATTCGAAAAAACAGCGTGGGAATCGCGAGATCCTTACGTTGCCTCAGGTATCTCGTGTGTTGTATCGGATTCTTTAATAGGCCATAACTTCTGATGGAAGATGCCGTGAGCCTTGAAACTACCATCTTTGCTCTCGCGATGTTCCCAGGTACATGCACAGCATTTTTCAGCTTGATCTGAGAAACTTTTTTTTATGCTGATTTCAGTACAGGAAGTATCCCAACTATGCCGCCAATTGATAGTTATATATCTAAAATCAACTCAGATCCGAAAAATTCCGGCACCTGCGCATCCCCTATGGTCTTATACGAGCACCCGCCAAATTTGAAGTCTAAATTCGTTGAAACAGCAGAGTGGGACATGAAAGAACGAAAGTTAGCTTCTTGGTCAGACCAGCTTGTAAGAAACAGTTTTTGGTCCGAATCTGGAAGTGCACATTTTTGAACTGCATTTCTGAACGTTATGAGAAACCGCCTTACATACATAATCCAGGTGTGGATGAATCTTCCGCAATCTTGGTGTTGCCGCTGCTTGCGTATCCAGACTATTGTAGTACTGGTCCACGGGCGCTGCAAAACAGACTACCGTGTATGTGTACAACTCGTAGTGGAGCGATGTAGATGACTATACTATCATCTGTGAAGTACTTCGTTATGTTCATGGCCTGTCCTCTCCTCGTCCTTTCTTGAGATCTGCACACCAGTTCAGCCAAGGCACAGCTGTCTTCGGAACCTCGGAGAACCTGTACGCGTGCAGTAGGGGGTCCTGTGAAGTGCCGGTTGAATAGCCCCACAGTCCGGTATAGTGCCGATCGAATCTCTGGACACATACCGGCACTAAATAGGGCCCACTACTGTAGCAGAGAACGTTGCTGATGTGTGTTCCTGTGTCTCTGCGATGCCTACAGCAGTAGGGTAGCGCCGGAATCCCTCAGTGTACCTATGTACCACAAGTATCGGAGACTTGGCACCCTGTGCAGCGGTAGCCATTTATTATTGTTTTTACGCAGGGAGTGCCGAGACTCCGACCCTTGTGCGACCGAGTTTAGGATGTTGTATAAGCGGACGAAAAATCTGCTCGTGAGTATGTAACACTTTTGGGACCCGTCTTTATGGGGACACAATCTTTGGGAAAATTGTTGGCAAGATTTCTTCGCAACAATTTTTCGCCAAGATATGTTGTATCGCCGCTTATTCGGGGGGAACGCAGAATATTGTGGAATGTTGAAAACGGCGGCGCGTTTTTTCGCCTTGCCTCCTTGAAGTTGATAAAAGGCGCAACTGCCACTTGATAAAGAAAGTGCCGGTGTGATGAAAACTAAGAACGACGCGTTCTGGAAGGCGGCGTCCCTCCCACAGCTGTATAGCCTCAAAACTAGGGGTGGATACTAAATAGCGGTGGGCGCCACCTGGGGTGCAACAAGAGGCGATATTGCCCGCGGTCTCACGCAGGCGGAAAAACAACATTGTTCCCTTGCTTGGTCCAATGGCCAATAATGTGCATCAACCCGCCAGGCGATGACAACTGTGCACATATCTCACAACGTAATAGGCGTACCGAGGTGAAACGTTCGGTTCCTTCATCTGGACTCACGGATCTGTTTCGGGTGCAAACGGCTTGGGTGTGTAATTCGATGAAACCTGAGCTGTCGTGGAAAAACATTCCGCCGGCTCTTTTAGACATATCTACGTGAAAATGGAGTACGCTTTGAACGGTCCCTCCACAGATGAAGCAAGAGTTCCTGTCACCAGCGGTGCCTTTATCTCTGGATAGAGGCACCCCACAACCACCTTGCGTCCGAAAGAGAACAGTTAGTGGAGGTGGCAGCATCGAAGGTTTTGCCTCGATACGTTTACTACGGAATGAAAAATGTAAACGGTTGTTGTCCGCCCTCAAGTTGGAGATGTGTGCTCTCCGTGCATGACGCACGCGGCACAAGCCAGGGCGAAAATGTTCTTTTTTCGCGCACCTTGATCGTTTTGCTCCGCTGGTGGCGCCCGTGGCGTGGACACGGTACGTTAGAGGCCCTTGCGAATGTGCCACGTGCAGATTGCATAGCGTTATGGACGATAAGTTTGACCGACGTGTGGTAGTCTCGCCGCACCCACCAAGATTTGTCGGCGGCCCGCTGCAAGATTTGTCCAACAAGCTCGGGTATTCAAGTCTTGGGTCAACTTTTGTTCGAAAGGGCGACTTTTTGGCCCCGAAAACCAAGAGTTTTCGCAGATTTGTTCCCCATAAATCGTGACACTGACAAATCTTGGCCCAAGATCAAGGTTTTTCCCGAAGATTGTGTCCCCATCAAGGTGGGCCAGAGTGATGTGACGCCTTCTATACAAATAGTAAACGTCCGAAGAAAGTGCTTTTGGGTGGGTACACGTGCGTGTCTCCAGATGTCCAGATGTTGGTATTTTGGTTTGTATGAAGACTAATGAAGTCTTGGTCCACCTACAGGACTTCTCCGAAATGGTCTGCGCGCAAGTAAGCAAAGGGTATGGATCTGTGGCCACCACTCGGCCAGACGGGTGGCAGGCGGGCTATAGGCCACTCTAGAAGGTTCATCGGGATAGTATGAGAAGCTTTCGAAGACAGCCTTAGCCCCCTTAACCTTTGGGGTTGCGGGGTATTGTCCGCCACCACTCGGCATCGGTCTCCAGGTCCAGATGACACATGCATTCACACATAGAGAAGTGGCAACGACAGGGAAAACGCTGTAGTACATATGCCGGGGGGTGATTGGCATTCATGTTGTCTCCGCCTCAACGAAACAACCTTGGCCGGGGATCTCTGGGATGTATCCCCGCGTGAACGAAAACACCTCAGCTGCAAGGGATTCTCTCGTCGTACGCATGTGTCCCCCCACGGACCCAGGTTTCGATTTGTGGGCTTGTGTGTGTTGAACTCGTTTTGCGCATTCCCCTTCTTTAGAGTATTGTACAGTCATTTGGTCCCAGATGACTTCTGGCACACACCGCAATGACATCGGTCTGTGCGATACTGAAAATAACCAATGCGGGGATGTGGATTGCTGATCGTTTACGGATTAAAAAAAAAAAATCCGACTTCAATAAAATAACCTTGTCGATTGCGCTCTTGCGCTGATTTGAAGTGAAGACAAGAAAAAAAAAAAACACCTTTGTGCACCGTCACAGCAGTGCCGACGGTAGATCCCCCTCGCTATTCCAGTATTCCGGTAGCAATGCTGGACAGCGCTCGAGGTGCAGTAACACCGACATCACCGAAGGTATCGGGGTCTTGGTGCCATTGTGCCAAGACTCCTGTCGCCGTGCCGTGCGATAGTCGAATCGAATCACTTGGTGTTTGCTTTTTCCCCGCACCCCTGTGCCAACGCTCCGATGTACGCCAAGACTCCGATACTTGGTTCTTGTGTAGTCACAAATACTTGTTTTTTTAACTCCCTATCGCCGGACCTACCTATGTTGGGTGTGGGGAATACGTTGATTGTAGTTCCAAAACCGTTCCAAGTTTTTGCCGCACTTCATCGGGGCCCCGCACTATTCCGGACAGCAAAAGAGGGCACCTACCTAGTGTACGTCTTTCAAGCCGTTTCGGGACATGTGACAGTGTGTGGATGACTGTCCTTCCTGGGTGGACACAGGAGGCAGAGACAAAGCCTGAAGGAGGTGATTGGCGGCACTTAACACCAAGATCTGTCGAGGAGTCGTCACCGTACTTTGCGTGGGCATATCCCTCGACTGTATAGCCCCGCGGATATGTGCGTTCGTGAACCACGCTATTTCATTTTTCTGCTCCTCTGTTCTTCAGGAAATTTCGCTCGTGTTTCTTGTATGGAGAAGCTCGTGCTGGAGTTCATCGGTACTTCGCCGAGTCATCCTTCATCAGTACCTCACCACGTCAGAGGTACGGAAATGTACTGGCTGTAATTTTTATCGATTGCTTCTGGCGCGTTTGATAGCTTTACGGCCTACTCACACCCGCTCGACCCACTCGAACGAGACCACCGACTCTGCAGTCAGGAGACTACGAAGATGTACATGTCCCTCGATAAAGTGATGCTGATATCGTGATGTGAAAGTGTCATCCGCGCTCGGCTAGAACGCGTCATTTAGGGTTAGGGTTAGGGTTAGGGTTAGGGTCAGGGTTGAAGGTGTTGAACACGAACGACCCGCAGCAGTGGGGGGAGAGCCTGTGCAAGCGCTATATTTCTGTCACCCGGCTTCGTTATCGCCGCCGTCACACCGCTTTTGACGGGAGCAGAATGTTGCGAAAAAAGTTAAAAGTTCCCAATCATTTTTTTGCAAGTGTTCTCACGTATGCTCAATATGGGAGCAAAAAGCTGCGAAACTTGTTGTGTCCAGAGCAAAATGCTGCAATCTGCTGAAAAGGTCTGCAGTTTTTTTCGCGACGAAGGTGTCGAACAATAGTTTTGCGGCGAGACTTCCGCCAATCCACGTCAAGCTGCTCCCCCCACCCGGCACGTAGGCCCCTCTCCAGCTTCGAGTGGGAAGGCCGCGTTCACCGATATCTCGACGAATACTTAGCGAGTTGCCTCAGGAATGGTGTCTGGAAGGAGGTGATGCCATTGGCTGTTGGGTAATGCCATGATGCCATGGGCTGTTGGGCAATGCCAAGGTTTGGTGCCGTCATGTGCCGAATGCGATGCTGACGCACGACCGTCAACGCCCGCGAGCGGTTATTGCAATTTCGGTGTGTTTGACCGCCACGGGTTTGGTTTTCCACCCATAACTTCTCGAAGGAAGAAGCCACAGCAATAGCAAGGCCACTCGGTGGGAGGTAGCTCTCGGCTTCATCTTTCATGCCCAAGGTTTGGTGCCGTGGGGTATCGTGCGCGTTGGAAAAAAAAAGTGGTTGACCCAAACATACCCACGGCAGAGAGCGGTTGGTTCAAGCTCGCGGGGATTCTGTTCTCATGGTGTTGTTGTCCTCCGATAAATTTACGAAGGAAGAGGCAACAGCAACAGCAATGCCACTCCGAGGGAGGTAGCAGCATGCTTCTGGTACCAGGCTGGATGCCTTGGGGTATCGTGAGTGTGGAGAAAAAAGGTTGCAACCACCCTCTCCCGCACGCTCTGGCCGATTCTTCGCGATGTGGTACGAAGGGGTGTGGCTGCTTCTCGGCGTTGCTAAAAGAAAAAAGGATCACGCCTCCTCATTCCGCCAGTCCCTTGCACAAAACTGTCTTCGTCCCATAAACAGCGTGCAACAAAAGTTCCATTGAGAATGTTTCCAGGCCAAAACAATAAGACTTGCAGTTTTTTTTCGCAACTTCCTGCTCCCTTCAAAAAGCAGTGTCACCAACCGTGTAGAGCGAAAAGCACGCGCCAGGATGGGTAATAACCGCCAACCGTCTTCATTTCTTAGTGTACCTCGTTCAGAAGAACTTTGCCGACAATATGATCAATCCGTGTTGTAGGGGTATGCCAGAGGTGATATCTTTAATGGCGGTCCTCCACAGAAGGTACTCTGCGTAGATCCGATCGCTCCTGGTAATCAAACTGTGAGCGGAAAGAACCTTCTGCGCAATTTCTCGGTTGAGCAATACCCAGCTGGATATTCTCGGTTTCACTCATAGGAATTTCCGAGCTCCATCTCAACCTCGATTCTGAGGACCTGGCCAGTCAGGTCGGGGAGGTCGGAATTGAGGAACCTCGAAGACCGAAGCGTTTTTTTTCAATTTCCATTTCCCACTGCAGCGGCAGTGAGTTTGTCCACCACCGCACGAGTACGACCGGAACAAAACTAGGGTGCTGAACGATCGCAGTCCCGTACGTACGAACCTTTTGTCGTGGTCTATCGGTCTATTGTTGTATGATACAGACAGGCGTGGGATGGCATGTATGTGGCGTCGTGAACGCCGCCTTGCGCCCTTTGCGTGCTGAATCGTTCCGATCAACGGCAAGCGAATCATTCGGACGTGCACCAAGGTAGGATGAGGTGACTAGGAAGCCCCAGTTTGTTGCGATCATGTGGTGCGCGTCGCTTTGATCATCTGTGCTGGTGCTGGTGCTGAGGCTGGTTCTCCTCTCGCCGCCGCCGCTGCTATGTGCACAGGAGACGGTGACGAGCACCCAAGCCATAAGACCGATTGCAAAGAGTCCCAGAGTAGCATTGAGGAGCACCTAGCGCGAAAACCACAGGTACGCCTGCATGATGGCAGATCGTTCGATTACGACAAGTATGAGATCAGGCATGCACGACGCGCGGGAACGTGGCCTTTGGCACTTCAGACCTTCCGTCCACCTCGCAAAGATTTAGGATTAGAGGGTAGCCGGTGACGTGTCTTCGCACCGTTGGCAGGAACGAAGAGGTTTGGGCATATCTATTGCTGTTTCCCCTGGCCCATTTGAATCGATATTTACCGTTTCTCTTGAATTCACGAGCAGTCTCGGAGAAGTACGGTGTCGGGAGTGGTTTTTCGGTTAGGCGTCGCTGCGCTAGTTTATGCGTGGGTTTTATTATGTGTCCCCCCGCCACATGTGGTCAGTGATGTGCACTTCACTCAATCCCATGGCGAGGTGTTTCCCATTCCCAAGGGTAAACGGTGCTCGTCACATGTTTTGAAAACGGAAAATGGTGAAAGCTTTACTTTTCTGTCATCTTACGACGTGTCCCATCAACCTCTGACCGCGTTTGCAGGTGATTTCGCTCGGGGCGGGTAAGGATTCCTTGTTTTTCCGATTGATGGACAGAGGGACGGCGGCATCAGGGGGCTACTTTGAGGTTGATTTCCCGGCGGTCTCGAGATGGAAAGGCGGGTTGGTCGCCAAGACGCCCATCCTGTCGGCTCTAGCAAACGGTCAGCATCGATTATAGTTTAACCCCCCTATCCCAACCTCTCTTCTCTCTTTCTCGGATCTGTCGTGGAGCATCACTTGCTTGCCTTTCTTGTTTTTTAGGCTGTTCTCCACATCAAAGCGTTGCACGTGTTTGTGTTTGTGCACTGTTTTTCTGTGTCTATTTCTACTGGGAGCGGTAGTCTATATCACACAATATCGAGAGGTAAGTTTTAAAGGTACAGTTAGACCTCGATATCACCCTTTATGGCTGACCAAAAAGTGTCCATGGTCGTTAGCCGAACACATTAGATCCAGTGCAAAGTAACCAATCAACGCTCCTGAAACTGGTCGCTGACGTCACCAATTTTCTGCATTACACACGGACGTTTGTCGACAACACGACGGCGTACGAAGCGCACGACACACACACACAGCCGGGACCACCAGCAGAGGATCATGTGCACTACGCTGGCGGATCGGGAGCACTAGTATAGCCCACCAGTTGGAGCAGCAGCGCATACATTTGTGTTGCTCACAGCAGCAGCAGAGTCGGAACATAAACAAGTATTTGAGAGCGGAGGAAGAATTTACGAAAGAAAATCGGAGTCAACAGAGGCCGGTCTTGGGCGTTCTTTCTATGTTTCCGTGCTGCCGCTGCCCACAAGCTGCCACAGGCGATCCTGAGCACATGCGCCGCTGGCCCTGCTCACACGGATTCTCGGAAGGTCTCAATTTTGCTCGCCCATGATTGAATTGGTCTAACAACACACGCGAGCGCGTTTTCGAAGAAGCTTGGAGTTGGCGTCTTGAGCAAGAAATTCAGCCAAGTCATGCCAAATCTTCTGCTGGCACAACAACACGGTCAAGCACATGTTGGGACCAATTCATCGAGGACGAGTAAAGAGGACGAGTACAGTTGTTGAGAGCTTCCGGGAATCAGTGTGAGCAGGGCTAGCGGTGCATGTGCTCACGATCGCCTGTGGCAGCTTATGGACGGCGGGAGACACGTGAAACCAAGCTCGAAGATGGGTGATGTTTCGGCGTCCTTTTTTTCGGATTTTCAAAATGTGCGTCATGTGCCCTGGGTCAAGCAACGAACGTCGACACCGCTTCTGCACGGCTGCCCTTTCAGTCTCTGAGCATGGGCTGCAGAGTATATCCAATTTCGACCAACAAGTCGAGAAAAAAAGGCGTGTTTTGGAGGTTGTCGTTGCGCCGTTTTTTTCTGGTCGGTCGCGGTGTAATCTCGAGGTCTAACAGTGCGCAGGAAAGCGATGCACACGACAAGTATTGGCCACTCTATTGCTGCAAGTCATCTTGCGAGATCCTGGATTTTGATTCTGTCTACCAGCGCGAGGCATGTGTGTCACATGCTGTTCCATTTTTTGAGTAGGACAATCGCTGTCGAGGTTGGCGAACCCAAAACCTGGCAATTTCAGATTTCGTGAGCTCCCCCCCGGGGTCGGACCGCCTGGCTTCCAGGACGCAGCGAGCTTGATACGTCCTGATTTTTTGAGACCTCAATACTGAGGCCACCATTCAAATCTACCAGATTTGTACAAGCTGGTGGCGGCTGATCTTCGGGACATCACCGCACTTGAAGACGCCCTTATCATAGCGGGGGTGGATTTGGCGGCGCCCACCATCTTCCTGGCGGAGTGCGTACTGGTGTACATGGAGCCGGCCGATTCCGGCGCGTTGTTGCAGGTATTGCAAGCTTGATCCGCGAGGTATTTCACCCTGTGCTTCCGTAGGGATGTGTGTGGTACCATTCTCCCTGGGTTTCTGGTTCGCCTGTACAGGCCTATTCATAATTCTCAAGACCTTGCATTCTCAAGCTTTGCAAACACGCCTTTGGAATCTTGGTTTTTGGACTATTGCGGTTCAAGACTGGGCAACCCAAATGAAAAATCCCACGAATTGGGGCGGTTTTTGTGCAACTCTGTCCGACCTCCACGCGTGGTGTTCGTTGCTCCGTTACCTCAGTGGTGCGCCTCGAAATTTCCGGATTCGCTTTTCGCCGCGTACGAGATGACCAGCCCTCACGACGCGTTCGGAAAGATGATGAAGCAAAACATTCAGGTCGGCTGTCTGTAGGGCGGGCCTTTGTTTTTGTCACCGTTGATAACCGGCGCGAATATTCGAGATTGTGTTGAAGGCAAGAACTGCACGTGTTGTTTGTGTAACCATAACCCGAACCAAGACTGTGCGAAGACTAAGCGAATTCGGAGCGTCAGCAACACTTAAAACGAATGGAAGACTTACATACACAACATGGCGTTGGAGCGGGGCTTTGTGTTCGAAGAGGAGCATTCGTATTTCATTTCGTATTTTGGAGGGGTTTGATCGCGTTGTTCGTAGCGGTAAGGCATGTTCAGAAGACAACCGCATGCATCAGCTGGGCGGTGGTACACGGCTCCGCATGCTGCCCGATCTGTTGGCGCCCGTTCCTGCCTCTTTTTGAACGGAATCTAGTGGCCACGGCCTTGGTGAAGCCGTGCCTCTGTACTGTCCATACTCCAACACCAACTAGTTTTCCGAGGCCATGTCATGGTTTGCGCCACCTTTGTCAAGCTGGCAGTGTGATTTGGTGTTGGGTATTCCCACCTTTTGGCGCACTTCGGCGTGTTTGGCCAATGTTATCTGTTTGCGCCACCTCTGTGACGTCCTACACGCGGCCTCGTGCATCACGCTTTATCGGGAACAGCGTCAAATCCAAGTTTTTCGTCGTGCTAAAATCTTCGTGACGGCTGTCTTCTGCAGAGAATGGGCTGTTTGCTGCCCGGTCTCGAGCCATACCCCAGCCTGCTGTCGCAAGAGGAGCGCTTCAAAAAGTCTGGTTGGGACTCGGCGAATGCGATCGACATGCTGCAAGTGTTCCAGGTGAGGAGAACATCTTCAGTACTGCGGTACACGAACTGTACACATCAAGGAACAGCGGCCAGACACTGTATGCCTGTGTGTGTCACAAGAGAATCTCTAGTCATCTTTGAGTGGACAGCGGCCGGAGCAAGCGGTATGCTCCTGGTGTCAGCCTAGGCAGCGAGCAACGCTTTTCCCATGCGTCCCGTTAGGCCGCAAGCCCTTATGATTCAGCTGGGAGAGGGAGTTTTTGGGATTTGGATGGGATCCTGGAAACCACCTTGACTTGCCCTGTGCGGTACCCTTCTTCATAACGATCGGGTCCAATACGGCAGAATTAGGTATTGTTGTGGGTGATGGATCGCCTCGTCGTTGGTTTTCGTCAGCTGTCAGCGCCGAGCTTTATGAACGTCGTTGCGCAGTGAAGATAGCCTTTCCTGATGTAGGTTGTGGCCTACCAACGCGAGTGGCAGAAACAAGAGCATCGGCTATGACGCCAACCCGTTACGTGGTTCCTGCCCGCAAGCATGCCAGTGGAGGAGTTCAGTGGGTGACACTTCAGTCCGTCATCATGTTCGCGTGTGAAATGGATTCTCAACAGGAATTATTAGACCCCGCAGAGGTGCGGCGTGCTTCGAAGATCGAAATTCTGGACGAGATTGAAGAGTGGGAGCTGATTATGGTAAGCAATTTTTTCCAAGAACAAACGCTATGACCAGGAAGGGACTGCACGTAGATGCTTTCAACATTCTATGCTTTTTTGTCCATCCTCCATTGTGTAAGAAAATGAAGTAGTCTATTTCCTGGCGCACTACGGTGCCGCTGGTCCCAGTGGTTCAGTTAGTATTCTAGCCTCACGACTTTCTGAAGATTGGACGTGGCGTGGCAGTCACGTGAACTTGGATTTGTGTCCACGTTGGTTCCGATCCGATGCAGGGTAGCGATTTGTTCGTGGGCACATAACGACTTCAACGCCGCCGAGAGAACGGCTTGATCTTCTGGCTATCTAAATATGCCATGGCCTGGAGAGTAGGAAGCAAAATAGAGCAACAACCAAAAGAAATCCTGTTTGAATTTCCTCCTGTATGATGAGCCCGGCTGGTGCGTCCAAATTATATTCCGAAAACGACGGAAGCAAATAGTTTTCGACGTGCAGAATGAATGGCATGAATACACACAACAATTTGATCAACGACGCCTTGGCCTGGCCTGAAAGCCGGTGCGTTTTTCTCCCTTCGCCCTGGTGCCTTCGTCACGCGCCTCATTACGGTCCGTGTGCCCGCAACATCACCCCAGCATCACTACTGCCTCGTGGTTGCTGCCAAGGGCGAAGATACTGTCGCTCGCCTGAGCGGAAACCCGGTGCTCTCGAGGTAGTATTTGTTTGCTTGTTTGCCGGACAAGTGGTGGCGGAACACCATCTGTTTTATTAGGACTGCGGATGGCACATGATCGGCATGCAACAGAGTTGATGGTCGTTGGGCTCGATGGACATGTCGCACTCCTTGCCGTCTTGGAAGTTGTGCACAGTCGGTACCGCTCCTGAAAGCGAAGATGGTGTCCTATACTGAGAGAAATACAAGGCAGCGGTTAAGGGAGGGGTGATATGTATGACAGGTTTTGGCCAAAAAGTAGTTTGTTTCCTGAATCAGCTGCGTTACCGTCGATCCCCCTACTGTGGTGTAGAAGCGCTTGGGTTGATTATATCTTGCATCTTGGTGTTGTGTAGATGAGGATCTCCCCGATTGATTGAATACTAATCCTGCTTTGGGTGAGGAAGGGCGTGGTCGAGGGTTCGGTGGGTCTATTGCGAGTCGTATTTGTCGACCATGTTGTGGAGGCCAGACATGTGCAGCAACGCATTTCGAGTATGTAGATATCGGATGGCGAGGTCCACGGTGGTTAGCCTCTGCATGGAACAAAATTTATGGAAACACTTCCTCATATATTGTCGGCTGTTGAAGTGGAGAAACGACGCCGGCTTGATGATGCGCATGTGTTGCTTGTCAACACTGGTTTGTGGATTGTTCAAGCTTCCACGGATCAGACATCGACACTGTCGAAGCCAGCACCCAGAAAAAGAGAAACAGGAGCGTTTTTGCAACGCTACAGTCCAATCAGTATCCATTTGGCAAACCAAAACGAAATTGCACACTTTGCACGAACACACCATGTGCGCTCTGGTGGACGTTCAACCAAGGGAACAACAACTGGAACATACCCATTGGCTCAACATCCTCCCAACATGTTGCTCTCGTACGCATTCATTCTCAGCACAAAATATGGCCTGCTACTGTAGTCAGATACATGCTGGAGATGGCCGCCTGGTACCACAGCGGAAATATATCTCCATGCTGCTCATCGGGGAACCATAGAAGCACAAGTTGGTCATTATTCAACACCCTTGAATTCGCTGGTAATTGCCAAAAAGTCTATCCCCAACTCCCGTCTCTGGAAGAGATTGTTTTTGATGCAAAACACGAAAATATTCTTTTTTCGTTAAAAGAATCTGCTCTCTGCGAAGCACCATCTTCTCTCGGGCTCTCACAGGCCTGTATTCCGGTCTCTCTAGGCCGCTGGCAGGCCTGCATTTTGTTTTCCCGCTTTTTCCGCTCCGTGTTTTCCGTTTAACCGCTTTTTCCTCCCTCGAGGACGTTTCCCCACTTAACTCACACGCTTCGCACAGGGCTCCATTGAAGAAATGTGTCGTGTCGAGGTGCCCTGTACCCAAGGGTGATGTCTGCAGGCGGTTACCCGAGCCGTAGTACCCGAACCGAGTACCCCGATCTCCGAGTTTTGCATACCTCTACGTACCAAAACCTGTCCTTGAATTTCTTCCACAGCTTTGCGATTTCATGGATTAGTACCCACCGCCGTTGGTGCCGACGTTACGTAGTACGTAGGCTATTTCGTGTAGCGGCGGGCAACATGTCGGAGGAATGCGCCGCACGAGTGACAACCATCGTAGTAAGTAGAGGTCAGAGGCGTTCGACTTCCGTTCTTTCTTCTCACACCAGCTCCCTCACACACGCGCAACGCTGTAGGCATCGTGTACGCCAGACTTCTCGCCTTCGCGTCTCTCGCTCTCATTTTGATGGTGTCTCCGGTTATGAAGCGGAAATCCCTCTGATTTCCAATCCGGATCTCTGATGGCTACTGTGCGTCGTCCTGATATAATCATTTTTCGTCGTGTATCATGATGGGCCTCGTATCGGCGAGGTTTCATTTGTCAGGCAAACCCTTTCCTGCCCTGCCCTATCTTGGCCTCGTTCTCACCCTCGTAGGTTGTCGACCTGGATTTCCTCGTCCGGTCGGACTGCATTATTTTCCGCGAATATTTTGACTTCATTTCCCGCGTGTATTATTACTGGTTTTCGCGATGTTTTTATATCATGATCAAAGGGAACACCGTATCGGAATCCACGACCGAAGATCTGCTCCCACATCCGCAAGCCACCTTCGAGGCTCACACTACCGCTGTCAAGGCCGCGTCCACCGAACTCGATAGATACCGACCGAGAGGCTGCTGACGAAGGAGTCTAAGTTGCCATTGCATGCGGATCTTCCTGTGGTCTCTCTCCCTTGGAATAGTTCTCAGGACCTATTCAGGGTCTAGAACCTACTTCAACCAACCCATCGAGGGCGTATTATGGCCGTCGTCGGTGCTGGAGGGATGTCCTGAGACCACCGTTGAAGTTCCATAGTCATATAAGGAGGAGAAGTAACTTGAAATTTGAACATTCGATAGATCCGGGAGTTGAGATGATGTATGGATACGAAAGATGAACGGTTTTTGGATTTGTCGCCGTTTTACCTGGCGATACGTATGGAGAATCTCGTAGATCATTTCTCGCACCGAGGAGGGGGGCTGTTTGTATGTGTACTCGGCAGGATACGAATCTCCGAGATCTCCGGGGGTTATGCAGATAGATATTGTACATGATGGGTGTGATGGACTTGACGCGTAGGCTCTGCTTGCCTGCCCATCCATGTCTCTCACTCGTTAATCGTTAATCAAGGAGCTTGAATCACTCCTGTGTTTGTGCAACACGCTCTCGACAAGAACCCGCGACCGTGACAACATAGTACACGCGCCGACACCCCAAACAGCTCATTACCCCACTGTCTTGTGTCTACCGAGCCATCACAGATGATCATCTGTACCACCACGCTTTTCCCACCTCATCTCCTCATGTCTTCATCTACCTTGGCATTGTGCCCCCCCGCCCACTTGGGGTTGGGGGGGGGGGGGGGGTGCGAGGGGGGGGGAGGAGATGAGGGGGGGGGGGGGGGGAAGAGGGGGGG